ATTCTGAAATGTTGACTTTGGTAACTAAGGCTTCATCCTAGACACCAGTTGGTATCACTGGTGTTCAATGTCAAACAATTCTTTTCCCAATGTTAATACGTTCTGCGTTCAACTGAAAGTGAACTTATTCCGTTCTTGTATTCCAAATAATTTTATAAAACAAATTTCTAAAGGAAAAATATAAAGAATAAGTCGGTTGTAGTGGACTTTAATATTACAAACAAGAATAAGGTATAAAAACATGCATTCTCCTACTGGTACGTTTAAAACCGGACATTCATCATAAAGGACAGATTATAGACCTACAAAGAGTAGGGTCCGTAAAGATGAAACCACAACGCTACTAGCATTACCTAGCAACCCTATTATGATATTGCCCCTTAACTTAAATCTCTTTCCTAGGAACTGTGTAAGAACCAAAAATACTTCTTTGCTTTGGTCATCTACAAAAGATGTAAAATACTTCTTAACAGAAATCTTTAATATCGGGAAGTGTTAAGACCTGCGTTTTCAGAAACAAACATTTTTATTCCAAATTGTCACGCAGATAAATAAATGAATTCGAAGACCACAATTTCCTGTAAGAACTCACTAAATAAACATTCACATCTAACTGCTAGTTTCAAGTAGTCTTTTAGGGTTATCTGCTGTATCGATTAGAGTAGAAATCTGACGTTTCGAAGGCTGTCTCTATTCCATCATCAAGGACTGATGTGATGGGTGACACAGATTGGTCAGTGGATATATAATTTAATTTATACATGTAGGTGGACCTTTCTAACCTGACCTAAATTAACCTAACCTAATCTAACCTCACCAGGCAAAGGAGGCCATGGAAATCTGGCTACATCCCAGTGATATTAATAGAGATACTACCATGGTATTCAATCATCATGAAACCAAATTACAAACACCTCTTAACTATCTAGATTCGATTAACTCGCAAGCTACATTCAACGAATAAAATCTACAGATTTGAACTTCTCTTGAAAATTACAAATAAGAAAATCTTTACCAAAATGAAACAAAGACATGACAACTAAGAGGAAATTATATCAACTGCATAGGTTTTATGTAAATTTATGCAGTGTAATTCTGAAGTGATTTTTCAAGACAGCTTGCAGATAGGATAAATGAAATCCTATCCACAGCATTGCATCTAGCGCTCACTTTCTTTGTATTCTTACGTCCCACACTTCTGTTACAAGACTTTTGACTAATGCTGGGTATTAACAACCATTGTCGGTTGTGAATCGTTTAGAAGATGAGGAAGTCTAAAGCTTTCCAGGTGTCGATCCGTGGTTGTCTCGGATGCATGTCATGTAAAACACTGCTAAGTTAGTTTGATCGCTGTACTAAAAATCAGTATTTTGATCATGCGATTAAAGTGGGGCAGATAATAAATGCAACAGACGTTTGTTCGGGAAACCATTTTGAAAACGTCCACTCTCAAGACCACAAAGGAGATGGGAAGATAACATTAAGATGGATATGAAGGAGATGGGTTGTGAGTATGGGATTGAACTAGGATCGTGTTCTGCGGCCGGCTTTTGTACCAGCGATGTTTACCTTTGGTTGTTATTATTTTGTGAATGGTGTGACCAGTGGAAATGAAAAAGTGCATTGATTTCGCTGTTTCCTCCAGTTAAGCTAAAGGCGACAGTCATCTGGGCTGTTTTTGTACAGGTTTTATTCCCATTTTCCCCTCAAGTATGGAAATATCTTACACCGAGACACCCCAATGTGTCCTTTATGATATGTAGTATGAAAACATCTTGTTATGAAAAGATAATCCTGTGGAAGTCCGTCAAGAGAGCTTACGGAATGTTTTATTTTTATGTGTACAGTATGTGGGTTTTCGAAGCATCTCCAAGGACTCTCCATCTCTTGTTATCACTCACTTTCAGCTTATTCTCTAAGACGGAAATTTCCATAAGGCTGGCTGTAAAACACCTTGTAACATATGAGTCTTCAACCTCTCGCAGCGCCGAGTATGAAGATGGCTGTCTATTGGGTTGTTGCGTCGTGGTCTGGTAGATGTTTACCTACGTTTCAGAAATTCTTGTTGCCTCCATCATGAGGGCGATAAGACCTGCCAGATTGAATAATTGCCCTGAGGATGGATGTTCCAAGCACTTCTGAAACGTCGGCAAACTTCTACCAGACTACGCGACGCAACAACCTAGAAGACAGTCATCATAACTTCGTAACATTGTGACAACATTCAAGGAATCCCATTAATAGTGTAACTTAGTATTGCATTAACTGTTAAGAACACCTGCCCTGTTTGTCTTGAGGACATGCGCATTTGTGGCAAAATTGGAGGAATGATTCAACAGGAAACGGCCAGCATGTTTTGTCAAAGTAATTTATATTAGAAATTTTATCGGTAATTTAATTAATTTTTTAATTCTTACAGTTCAGAGCCAATCAGTACCCCCCTCCATGTGACCTGTGAACCAAAATTTTCACTGCTACGTAACAACTAACTAACTTGAAGGCTTACGGAACCCGAAGGCTCATCACCGAATTCACCAATGCCCTCCACCGGACCTTGTCCTAGGCCAATAAAATCCAGTCTCCTTTAACTCCTATCTCCCATAGATCCCGCCTGACATTATCCTCCCATCTACGTCTAGGTCTCCCCAGCGGTCTCTTCCCCTCAGGCTCCCCGACCAAAACTCGGTGTACAACTCTTGCCCCATCCATGCGCGCTGCATGACCCGCCCATCTCATTCTTCTTGACTTAATCACCCTGACAATATTGGGGGAGGAGTACAGATTTTTAAGATTTTTACTGCTATATAACACATTAAATTTGTCAATGAGTAGGTTCAGTTAACACACGTGATTCATCCATCTGTTGCAGAGTTGGGGCATCAAAGCTCTGATTGATATCACATGGTCATCTATGTCATAAACACTGTATGACTTTCGTTGTAGATTTGTCTTTAAAAAATAGACCAATCAATAAAATTATAAACTTTGATCATATAACATATCAATGACGTTTGTCCGTTCAGTGCGAACACACTTTTAGTTAGAGATTTTATTTCGCGTCACTTTAAAATAATCCCAACCACCTCGCAAGTAGAAATAATAATTGTCCTACTCTGGTGTAGAGCAGTGTCCACAAACTTTTCTAATCTGCTGCAAACTCTAATTTGTCAAAGACACATGAACGCCATACAGTACTCTACATGATCATAAATATGTATCTAGACATAAATATTTATCAAATTAGAATGCAGGCATGTGAAAAAAATTATTGCACATTACCGTTTTAACTATAACATGGGAATATTCATTGCCATGATGATGGCGGTAGCGAGGTCCTCTGAAACATCGGTAAACTTCTAAGAGATTATACGGCGTAACAACCCAGAAGACAGCAATCTTTCAACTTCCATCATTTCATTTTGATTACTAATAAATTTGTCTCTGTCGAAGTTTGATTGCCGTGATTACATGAGCCCGCCTTTGGTCTCTATCCTGAGTCAGATTAATCCACTCAGCATTGCCCACATCCCATCCAATACCCAGTGTCCGCACTAATTCTGACCTTACAGATTCTCTTGAGTGTAAAATATGTTCACGATGGAGGAATCATCGAACTTTTAAATTAAAATATTTTCGTTCTTGAGGAATGGCCTCACGATATTATGGAATGTTTTGTCGACAATGTCGAGACCTCTGTAATCCGTAGTTCTTAGTTATTATCATTTTCAGTGCCAAGATGGAGACACTGTGTTCTCTGAAACTAGCCTGCCACAATACGGTGACATCCATAAGTTGAGATCAAAATTAAATGAAAGTGGTAAAACTTCTAACCGGCCACAGCAATTGTGTCTTTACCATGGACGAGTCCATCCACTGGACCCAGTCAGCTATGGGACTGATACTGGATTTGTAAGTAAATTTTACGGCCAGTACATCGAACAAGGAATTAAATACGTATCTTAAAAGCTGAACCAAAACTAACATAACTTTGTAAGTAGCATTTCCTGCATTACAGAAGTGGACTCGGGTACTGGATTTTCGTTCATGAAAACGAGTGTGTTACAAAAACTCACGATACCAGGATGTTTAAGGCGACAAGTACCTTGCCTTCAAGTATGCACCTTGCAGTGTGATATAGTGTTTAGTGCTGCCTGCTTTGAAGAAGCGAAGATTTTGGTCTCAGGATCCGGTTACTGAATGAGGTTACTAAAGATGAGACAAGACCTATAGCAAGTCAGCAAAACCACATTTTACAACTAAGACCATTACCCGTATCACGTAATCTTCCGTCTTTCAAGCTAAAAACAGATACGAGATTTTAAACTATAGAATTGAATTTAGCTTTGTACCTGTATCTAAGCTTGTGTTTGTTTAATGACTACTTTTCAATCGCGTGGTCGCGAATAAATTGGGGATACAGTAAAATGAAGCTGGGGTCCAGCATAGCAACTTCCTGGTATCTGACTGGAGAAGCACAGACAAATTACGTGAAACCTCGAATAGTGTTGTCGATATGTTGATCGGAATTCGAATCCGGGACTTCCTGGCAATGGTGGGCCCTGTGCAAAATATGATCAGGCGCTCCCTATAATTCTTAAGAGGTAAAGACGTCACAAGTTCATACCAGTATAAATTGTTTATGATAATAAAATCAAAAATAACAAGAACAAATTAAAAAGATCTATTTCTCCCGTTCAGGCCTGCAGATTTCTTTGTAGCATCTGAAAACAACGTCGAATTCACTGGAAGTCTGCATGCTGCAGATATCCGCCGTAATTGTTGGAAACTGATAATCACATGGACTAAGATGTCCGTATATATTCTTGAGATATTCGAAAATAGTTTGGTGAAAGTTTAAGGACATCGCTCAAGCGGTAGGTGGTCATAAAATCAGGGGATTGTGGCCAGCTGCCCGCTTTCCTTCTGAATACAACGGCCCTGTGGCGGAGCATCTCGCCTTCAGACCGTGTTCAGCGAGTCAACATAGCAGGAATACTTACGGAAGGCTGAAAATCCTGCCGGAAAGTGTCCCTCAGGTGTGAGGAGCGGCCGCAGTGTCGAAATGTCCTCTACTCGGGTATGCAGCCCGCTCACCGAGCTTGGAAAGGCCTCAGCTGTCGACGGAGCTCCGTGGAGGAAGGAGAACCCCGGTATCTGCAGGGGGAACACGGGCAGAGGAACTGCGGGGCTGAACAGCCGGGAGGCAGCGGGCATCTGTCGCGGGGACTCCCGGGCACCCGGAGGCGGAGTCTTCGGCGACTTTGCCCCGGATGTTAATATGGGCGACGATGACTTGGTTACCCTGTGGGGAGGATTTGTGCTCTTATTGACTAGGATAATTTGTTGAAGATGACTGTCTTCTGGGACACTGCGCCGCTGTGCAGATCGGTAGAAAGGTACTTTCTGCTCTGATAATGGAGGCAGTAAGCTCCTCTGAAACGTCGGCAAATTTCTATCAGATTACATGGCGCAGCTTCCCAGAAGTAACTTCATATTTATATATGATTTGAGGTTTTCACAGCGGTGAGTATGAAGATTTCTGTCTTCTGAGTTGTTGTGCTGTGTAGTCTGGTAGATGTTTACCAACGAACATACTACACAGCGCAACAACCCAGAAGATAGAAATCTTCAACTTCATATTTAGTCAATGCTGTGAGGCCTGAAGTCTCTTAATATTGTTTCGAAAAGTATATGTGATATAACAAATACACAGGTCTGTTTTCGAGACACGGAGGTCCAAGGCATGTGCTATTTTGGTTGCTAAGTAGCCGTCATTGCACATTTCTTTAAGTCATTGATAGGAAACTCAAGCGTTACAGCCTAAGAAAGTGTGTGTGGTTCTTCCTTTTAAAAATATAGTGCACAGAAGTGAGACAAAATTTGGAATTGTGTACTCTAGTTTTAATCCTTTAGTGTACAGATCGTTTGTCGTTCATTTGTGCACTTAAATGTGTAACACTGTCGCCAGGAAGTCAGCCACATTTCACAACTCATGCCCATTTCCTTTAACCTGAAACTGCGTGCCAGACTGCCCGACGCTTTTATATTTAGGACTAATAGTACCTTACTCTATAGAGCATAGTCCTTAAGAAGCTGATAGTCGCTTAACTTTACACTAAATTCATCGCCTTTTAAGGAACTCGAAGATTCATTACCGTGTCATAACGGCTTCACTAAATCCACGACCCCACAAATTATTTCTCTCAGATTCATTTACATCTAGGCCATCTGTGTGGTCTCTTTCCTTCAGGCTGTCCAGCCAAAGTCTTGTACGCATTTATTATCTACACATGCGTGTTACATGCCTCGCCCATCTCATCCCCATTGATTTCGTTATCTAGCCACCCGAGTGGGACCTCAGAGGTCTCGGAAAATCAGCAGCGGTCTGTTGCTACACACTTCCAACCCTTAATGTGTCACCCGTCTAGTAAAGTTGATGACTTTAAAAGGTGTAAATGGTGGAATAATTGGATTATCTTTGGCTTCTCTTTCTATGTATTTCTCGCCACTTTCTTTCACATGTTCATGACATTCACAGGAGACCCTGTGCTAAGTGAAAGGTTGCCTGATTAAGCACGCCATTTTGCGAAGCATTTATTGATATAATATGGAAAAAAGAATGTTTTTTTCATCATCATCTAGCTCTTTATAATCCAGTGTGATTTAGGCCGTCTCTTTTGGAGGTTACTTAATCTGTTTACACATTTGGTAGGACTCCTCGGACGAGTGGTCAGCCTGCCGAAAGACACAACACAGAAAGATGCAGACAAACATCTATGCCTTGGGTGGGATTCAAACCCACGGTCCCAGTATCGAAGCGGAATAAGGCGGCCACTGTGACCGGCATTGCGTTCCTCTAGGTAATGGAATTTGATTAAGATCACCGGAGATTGTATTGTGGCAGCACAAATAGTGGCAATATTTCTGGTTTTATTTCCACACATTCTCGGTTAATTGTCGTTGAAATACGTTTTTGAGACTTTTTCAGACACACTCTGAACTAGAATAGTAATAACGGTACACATAACAATCGTAAATGTATCAGTCGATATTCAATCCCGTGTCGATATTGGATAGGTTAATATCGATTTCGAATCCTTCAGCCATTTTAGGACTTTCTTTATTGCACATGTAGCGACCTAAATTCAGTCTTAAACATGTCTTTATTTGTATTACGAATTGTCTTACTACACAGTTTAAAGTACAATGGTAACTGTATTAACCGCTTGCTTAAACATGTGACACTGCATTTTACCCACAGGATGTATTTATGCGATTATTTACTTAAAAAGAATTGACCAGTTGACCTTTGTAATGGAAAAGTGTTGTGTTTTCTTCGAGGTACGAACCGAATTTTTATAGACCTGCACGGATCCTTCAGGAAGGCCAGCTCGGCTGAGGTTTTCGTTAATTTTTCTGCTCAAGCGAATGATTAGTTGGAAACCAACCTGCACGTTAGACCTGTTACCCCCACCCCCGGGTGTAAATATAGAAATTACACCCCACTGAAGCGAATATTCTCTTCACACTTTTCTCTGTAACGTACAATTAATAAAGATAATAATTAAAACAGTTGTTGGTTGCCCCTCCACAAAGTAGATCACTTTTCAAAGTTTTCGCTTCTTTGTAACTTACCTTTACCAGTAATATGAATGGTTACAAAACAGTACCAGAAAACGGGAAAGAAAATTTACACAGAATTATCTCGGGCAGGATACCAAAAATGATTTTAGGATGCCATCCAAAAGGAAACAGATGTTTGGGCCGATCCCTCACAAAATGGAAGGATCCTGTTATGTAATGCCCGTAACAGAAGATGAGTGGGCACTTCTTGGTGACCTTCATAGTAGGAAAAATGTAATATCGTTTCATTTCTCGTAACAAATGTATTTCGCCAGTCCCTTCCAATTTTCCTTCTCTCTTTACAAAAAAGATTAAACGTAAATTGTGGTGTTAATTTTACTTTCAATTAAACATTTTTAAATTAATGCTGTCGTGAACATTTTAGACTATAACTAGTCATGGTTATTCATAAAGTTCTTCTTTCCTAATAACCAACTTAAATATCCCCCAAACTTATGACAATGAACGAAATTCGTGTTTTCATTTTATTTTTTGAATAAATAATATTGATTTTATGGCATTTAGAAATTAAACAGTACGCTTACTCTATATCGATACTCTTAACTCGTTATCGAATGACAAGTATCATATATCGATATAAAATATAAATTTTAAAATGTCTACTTTTCGGTTTCGTTCTGAGTCTTAATTATAAGGATAACTGCGAACCGCGTCAGTTACCATGGCAACAGATATGCATCGGTATACTAAATCACTGTTCAGTAATAACGTTGATCGCCATTAATTGTGTTAATCATCAATATAAGTATATCAAACAATACGGCAGATAGCTACATTATGTCCTTTGATAAAACATTGATTATTATTTAAGCTGTTATGTTCCACTAACACTTAAGCATAGAAATTCAGCGAATTTGGAATGTGAAAATGCTTTGTCAAACCTCTAATCACTGGGACCTGGAAACAGTGCCAGGAAATCATTCAATAGATTCTTTGGCCATACTAGGAACATCGCACATTATAAAGTGTTACAATCAGAAACTGGAAGCCTAAGTGGTGGGTTTCACCTTTGGTTTAAGAGGAGACGTACAAGGAAAAAAAATATAAGAGAATAAATAATTATATATTTTGTGATCTGTTTAATGCTGTCTGTATCTCATACCAGGTCTGTGGGACGATTAATGAATAACGAACTGGAAATAATACGCGAAGAAATGGTCATGACATAATTTAAGAATCTACTTCGGCATTTGCCTATAAGGAGTGAAGAAATGACGAGAAACCTCACAATATCCGTCATCCGGACAGGAATTTGAGGGCAGTACCCCCCAGAATACGAAGTATGGGAGCTAATCACTCGGTCGCCGCGCTCCGCCATAATAGCAATTAATGTAGCCAGATTCAACAGCAGCTAGCACTAGAATGCCACTTACCGGTCAGATGCATCGAAAGTCGTGAATATTTAAGACAAACTATCTTGGAAAAGGCTGGCGTGTTGGAGTTCAGAAATACGCACTTACAACAAAATTATTATAAGCCAAATATAAAATTCTTTATTTCTTATACCCCACGACTTCAATAAAAGGACCAAGTGAATGTAACGTGACATAACGCTTCTGAATTATCATTTAGCCCCATAGCACCACAAACGGCTATAGAAATTACTAAATAGTAAGTTACATTGTTTTGCACACTAAACCCTGAGACAATGACAGCTTAATGCATCATATGTATTCAGTTACAAGAAGGCAGACAGGATAGAACAAAACTTTAGACAGATATGTTTTACATTATACACTGGAGATACTAATTTATTATTACTTTAGATTCTTTGGGCGATGTTCGATAAAAACAAATTTCTCCACACGTTGTCGGCACGTTAACTCCGCGAAGTTTCTCAATTGATATAGAGGTCTTCCTTACAACAGAAGAGGAAACATGGCAACTTAATATAAATGCGGAATCACTCGTGTTTCTGAGCAACTTATCGTAAAACAAAATATGGTGGTAAAGGGGAACGGGGGTGAAATTCGACATTATGTTTAGAAAATGTTCACGCTCTGACCGCTTCATTCCGGGGAATGCTTCCCTGCATACAAGACTGGGTAAGACACACAGGCATTCTGGAAGATATGATAGCAAAAAATTCCCCTGTGCTCCTGTAAGGAATCTAACTTAGCGCGTTCAGTTTGTTGACTAAACTATCATGCATCATTTGGTTGAGAAAGACATTGATATGTATATATCCTGTTTTATTAGAATCAGAAAGGAGTGGATCTCTGCTCAAGGAAAGATTGCAAGTGATAAATACAACTGTTTGTAATGTGAAAATTCGTAAATATAAAATGAAATTCCCATTAATTTCACTGTTAAAAAATAACTCAATATTTTTCCCACATATGTCATAATAGCATACGCTCATAAGAATATGAAGAGTAGTACTTTTCATGATAATTATTACCTATTTAAACCCGCAAAACACTATCGAAGTGTCACCTCAAACGTTTACAGATTACAGCTCTTACTTTAGTTACAGAACAAACATAAAAAGTTACGAAAGCAAAGAATAAATAATTGCCTTTATTATATCCTTAATTGCTGTACGTATAATAATAATAAATCCGTAACAAAAATGGAACTTGTCTCTTAATTGATATAGCAATACCGACTGACAGGAACGTAATTAAGAAGAAAGCGAGGAAGATCTTGAAACACAAGGACCTTCTCATTGAAATACAGAGAATGTGGAAGGTTCAAGCAAAAATAATCCCAATAATTACAGGAGCAACTGGAACTGTCTCCAGGTCACTCAGAAAATATTTGGCCAACATCCCGGGCGAACACGACATCAGAGAACTGCAGAAGACCGCCATTTCGGGATCTTCATACATCATTCGAAAGACGCTCATGTAAAATATATAGTCAGCTCTAACACTAAAACTGTATAATTTGTATTAAAAACAAAATGAATTTCGGAAATAGCTGCTGCACTATGTACCTTAGGGACAGGGTTTGTCTCGGGTACATGGAAGTAAATACCCTATAAATTGGTGAATAGATGGAATAATAATAATAATAATAATTCAATTCATTTATTAGAGTGCTTGGCAACAGCCAAAAGAGGCCAATAACAGCCAAGTACTAAAAATAACAATACAAAAAAAAACAAACAAATAATAAACTAAATATATAAACTAAATATATAAATTAAATAATAATAATATGAAATACCGCCATTATTATATGAATTTCTGTGCCGCAAAACAAACTGTAAGAGTACCGTCAAAAGGCTACCGATTCCCGTAGAAAAAGGCATGAAGCAAGTTCGGTCCCAAAATTAACTATGCGTAGTTGGAGTATGTCTGTATGCTTTCTGCCGCAGGCCTAATCGTTAATCAGCCCTAAGCATCTCCATAGCAACGATCGATCATAAATTCTGCTTCAAACGTCAGTAGTTCTGTTGGCCTATAGCTTAATTATTTCTTGATTTATTTAATGACTGTTTTAGATACTCCGATTATATGACAGTGTCTCATAGCACGCGAATGACAATATTATGTTACAATGAAGCTATTTGCTACTACAGCCAAATCAACAAATAATAAATACATACAAATGTGGTCGAGTGGTTAACACTACTGCTTTGTATTATTGAGTTCCTGGGTTCAAATCTCGGTCGGGAGACCACCTATCCTGACTGTTTTTTCCTGTGGTTTTTCTCAGTACCTAAAGATAAATGCTGGGATAGTATCTTAAATTAGGCCACGACAGCGTCCTTCCAAATCCTTTACAATTTACTGTAATCCTCTCATTCGACGCTATATAATCTGAATCACTGAAAAATCGGTGTTAAATAAATTATAAATATAATATGTGCAATATTTTGTATTTATGCAAAGTTTTAAATTGTCATTATAACGTTTTTTGTAGGTTCTTTTAAGGCACTCAGTAGGCATATATATCCCATGTCTATTTGTAATGGATAATTAGTAATGATGCCGACAGCGATAAATTTAGGTAATTGTAAAATGTAGGCCTACCGTATATACAAGTAATTTAACACATATCCACAAGTTGTATGTAATTAAAAGTGCAAAATTAATAATAATAATTTTAGTTATACATTGCAGAGGCATTTGAAAGGTTAACAACGCAGGTTCCAGTTACAGAATTGATGAAAAGGCTATCATGATGCCAATAAGACTGTACTTAAATTTCGGTTGCCGTCTCTTGGGTTTCAGTACGACTCTGGTTCTTCACAGATTAAAATTATCTTCAGATCTAAACTAGAACAAGAATTTGTACAGAATATCGCCCGACGCCTCGAAGTTTGTGAATGAGTATGTGAGCCACTCTTAAGAACCATGGCAGTGGACGTCTTACGTGCTGTAACATAGCGTGTTTTTGCGCTCAGGATGCAAACAGGATGTTAATGTCATAAAATAAACTGTAAAACTTGATTATCAGCCTATGGTTAAATCGTTAACAGTTTGGTTAAAGTTAATACATGCTCTGCTAATTGCTGAGGTTAGTAAACAACCACGAAAATGTATGATGAAACTACTTAATCCTGACTGGAAATCGCTGGCAATGATTCTAAATTTTTCTGACTGATGAACTGATAAAACGGCTGTTTTCAAGAAGACCTTTACCCTTTTTCTCAGAGGGCATAGTACATATAATATAGTGCAAATATATTTATTATTATTATTATTTTATATTTTTAGGCGGCGAATAGATTAAGATGGCTGTGGTTTCGGTTTTTGCGTTTTGAAGTCTGGTAGGCGTTTACAGACGTTTCAGAGTATTTGCATCCTCCATCATCAGGGTGATCATTGCCTTATGAAGGAGGCAGCAAAGTAAACTTCTTCTAGACTACCCAGACGACAGCCATCTTGAAGACTTTAAGTTATCTAATTCCGTTCCCATCCAAACAGCCTAAACGTCGGCCCGTATGTAATTAGGTTGATCAGATTGACTGAAAATCAACTCAAGAACCCTGTTTTGTTACTTCTAATCAGAGCCGTTAGGCAAGTATTATAGCAGCCTATGGCGCACCGACTAGTAACAATATTTTTAATATCAGTAACTTCCTCACTCTGTAGAATAAATTTTCTCTGATACGTTAATTCACAGACTTAGAACAGATGGCAAGATCCTTTCAATGGACAGTTGTCTTTATAGTAGTGAGTACAATATCGCAAAAACTATTTATTTTTATTATATACTTAATGAATTTGTATCTGTTAAAATAAGTAAAGTTACATTGTACACTTTCATTTGTACATGAAAAATGTTAACGAGTTTTGAGTGAGAGGTAAAAGTTGTGATCCACTGGGTGCCTAGGGCTCGTCTCTGCTTCTAATTTTCTAAGAGTGTCAGAGTAGACTGAACGGGGAACTGGTTAGCTGTGTTCCAAACGGTAACTATCTTTCACACACACGGTTTAGTTTAATTCAAAGCTATATTTAATATCAGAGAACTTTGTATTGAAATTTTATAGATGTTTCTTCGCGTCTGAAGGGTTTCAGTTAAAGAAACCGAGACAAACAGAAATTCAGACTGTAAGACGTCGTCGTCTTGTTTATAACGTAACGTACTAGGAGGGCGGGCAGTTTTCATGGGACGAGCAGTAACTGTGGTACTTACCGCGGAGTTTCTGTTGTGGTGGCGTTGGAACCCGACGTTTCCAGATTTCCGTATAGACGGGCAAAGAACTCCCTTGGAGAAGAAGGTCTTGTGATGTTGGTAAGAAAAGAAGACTTTTTTATTGTTCTGTTGCTGGAAGTCTGAACGGTTATAACAGTTTTGTCGTTAGAAACTTCTTCGATCTCAGAAACTGTCGACATTTTGTCCACTGTAGAAGGTAACATATCGATTCAGGTTAAAAAAAAATGTGGTCCTATTGTCTTCTAGTCGAATTTCAGATGGCGATTGTTTGCATACGAAGACTACAGTTAGTAGGCTTATTTGATACGAAAAGGAAGCTTACATATTTGGGTTTTCGTCTAAATCAATATTATCAACATCTGAACTTCAAAATTATATCGTTGTATATATGCCTGTTAACTTTAATGATGCACCAGTTATTTATGAAAGTGTCACTATGTATAAACACTGAGTTATATGCATATTAATTCACTTTAATAAATTAGTGTTTTCACATAAAGTACAGTGCATATTTAAAACATATCCGATGTGATCACCAGGAAACGTGGTTTTAACGCTTGTGTTTAGAGGCAAAACACTTCAATGAAGTACTTTCTTTATAGCACACAGAATTCACTTGTCTGCAACCTGTATTTTTTTTAAAACTCGTTGTATTCTGAGCCACGTGGTTTGTAAAGCAGTCAACAATGTTTGACTTTAACTAAACACACGTCCACCACGAGTCTGGACTTGTCGGCCCAACATGAAGATGGATATTGCTTCGCAGTGGCGATCTCGAACGGGGTTGCCGAATTCCTTCTTCTTAACAAACTGACCCCTTAATAAAGCCTCTCTCTCCTATATGCATATATCATTTCGTTCATTGAACAATATTAGAACTCTCTTCCCCCCTCCGCAGTTTCACTTCACCCCCATCCCACAACAATTGTTTAGGGATGATGCACAAGGGGTGTAAAGGGAGGGGTGATTGGACTCTTCACCTGAGAGGGAAGCGCGAAACGTAAAGCTAACCAATAGGAGTTTGAGTTTCTGCGCCGTGCATCAACAGCTGGCACATACAGACATAACTGCGTGTGGAACGGAAATCGAGCAGAGTCCACAGGCCTGTCACTCACAATAGCATGATAAACACAGGAACACGGCAGAATAATTAATTAATGGAACAATTACAAGCCGTAAATTATTAGTGTTTAGCAAATAAATTCCTTTCTCAGAACTAATGTTTTCTTTATGTAGGATGTTTTAAAATTCAAACATGTGATCAAAACATGTTTTAATTGTTACGCTGAAGAAAAATTTTGAGTTCAACCTCCGCATAATGCCCATTTTAAAATGTCTTCATGCAGTTTTATATGGACATAATTACGCCCAACAATTGTTATGTTACATTACATTCTACAGTGCGTTCACTGATAAAATTGAATACAACTTTCACTTTCCATCTCCCGGCGGGAAAGCTGTAACATGGACAAGTTGCTTTCGCGGAGTGATACTTGACTTGACGGTGACATAAGTTCTAGCAGGGAAGTGTCAGTTATCTCACTGAGTTATGAACATTACTGTCTTCTGGAAGGCACCTATGAAAGGTCAGTCAACTTCTGTCACACAACACAGCGCAACATCAGAAGACAGTTATGCTTATAATCGCCGACGTCATAACCTGAAATCGTCATGTATTATGTTATATTCTACCCATATTTAGGCCTGTAATACCTATATTTTATTATACTCGTATTGGATTAGGTTAGGTTAGGTTACATTATATCCTACTAACAAAGATGTTCGACAATTTGCTGTTTCATCCTCGGTCAAAAGTAAATATTTTAAATATAAAATATTATTATGTATATGTCTCGATATGAACTTAACAGTATGTAATAGACGTGCAGATAGGCCTACTATTGTTGTCTACATGAAGGAAGGGCGTTGTCACGGACGTGTGATAAAATCACATCACCTGCTGAGGAAGGTCAGTCTCTTACAAACGGCAGGCTTCAGATGAGACGTTAAGAAGGTCTTCAGCTTACAAGAAATGACACTCAGTCAAAAAGTTTTTTCTAAAAACATTCTGTGATATGATCAGACCTCAAGTTCAATAACAGACTTGGTTATGTACCGGGACTTATTTCTGGAAATGTATTCGCATTCGGCTTGAAAGATGGTCTGTGCAATCACGTAGGTGTCTAAATTCCAAGAGGAATTTAAGATTCTTGCTGATTAGATTGCCAGATTGTATTGTTAAACAACTCCATGCATCAGAGGCCTTGAGAAGCTGATAGTCACTCATCTGGTCTATAAATTAACCGTCTTGTATAGAAACCATTATTTACTGTCGCGTTTACAAGTGGCCGGCCCCATTATGAACTAATCCTCATCTTAAAACAATATTAATTAAAGATTCATTGCAATATTATAATCCGATCTACACCCAAGTGGATTCATCTCTCCCATTCCATTCTTCCTAGTTTCATGGCCTTAATGATATATTATGAAGATTAACCTACACATTATGAAGAACATAATTATCAACGTTTCTCTGTCTTTATCTTACTTCTTATCTTTTTGCATTCTCCACAGATTTTATAGAACTTACAGTATGTTTAGAATGTTAGGGAGATCATGTGTGAATGCCCTGTAATCTCGTTCAGGCAAGGGGAAAATTATTCGACTGATTATTGTAATAACTTTCGTGACACCCATTTTCCTCTGAATGTGAATAGGCTGCAACCCTGTCACTCCTTCACCTGAGTAAGCATTAAGAAGGGTAGTTATTCAAAGGAGGCGGATCATATCCCCATTAGTTAATACTTTAAACATTTGTTTTAATTGGCTGTAGAAGAGCTGGTGGATCTAAGGCGAACGCTGACCGAAATTTTGTTCGCTGCGTATTGCTTCGTCCTCCTGATGCATTTCTTATGTGCCCCCTCGCCTTCACGTGTCCGTCTTTATTTCCAAGATGTCACTGCCCTCACAATAGGCGACTATAGGTGGTCTTTTATTTAGTGTTCTGTCTGACGACAGGTCCATATGAACAGGATCCTTCCATCCTTTTCTCGGACTGGGACCTGTTCATATACGTTCTTGGCAGATGATCCAGAAGTGGTTTGCCATTGCCTTCGTCTGTGTGTGAATGGAGTAATTGTTGGGATGCCACGGAGGAAAACTCCGTGTTGCCTAGACCACGGCCTTGCCCAACACAAGTTATAAATTCGGGCACCGCCGGGAATCGAACCCGGGACCCCAGGATTACAAGGCCAGCGTTCTAACCGCTAGACCACCGTGGCTATTATAGGTGGTCTATTAGCTGTTAATTGCACCTTTTTTTTGTTATTTCGTCGTGCGCCTCAGCACTCTGTGTAGTTATGAGTAAATCAGTTAGACCTATTCATTTTTATGGTCAGCGAGTCATGACGTAATAATTACTGGCTGGACCTGACCGACGTTTAAAGGTGCTTACTACAATGACCTTGATAATTGAGACAGTAAGGACCTCTGAAACGTTGATCAGTTTCTATCATACTATACGAAGCAACATTCCAGAAGACAGCCATCTTCATACTTGTCGCCATAAGAACATGAATTCTCACGTCAGAATTGCACCTGAAATTAGATCACTACCCTTTCCTTCCATAGCCTTTCAGTTCATTAATCAATCATCCTATAATTCAACACACTTACTTTAGTCTGAGGTACTGACATCGTTGCTAAATAAATTATAGACGCCTAAGTAAACAAAATAGACTCTTGAGTCGATGTGCCAGTAAATTTTAAGCCCCTACTGCCGTAAGATGTCACAGAAAGCGCGTTCATCTCTCGTTTGGTATTTCAACTCTCGACTTAGGAGTCTCTGTCGATAATGACCACACTGTTTAGTAATCATGATCATATTTTGCAAATTACAGCAATAAATTTGTTCTGTTTGTGATAGCAATGGGACGATGGTTCAGAGCCGAAAAGGCAAAGTGACAACTCCCTCCCCTCTCCCCCCTGGTCATCATGTAGATGAATACGTACTCTAAGCCCGTAATAATCGTCGAAATTAGCATAATTGCATAGCAGGCGACTGTCCAATCAGAACGTAGCATGCTCTCGAGTCCTTCCCCCTTTATTCACTGTCAGCAAATCGATATAATTGCGTTTGTGTACGGGACAGAAACTGTACGCGAGATGCAATAACCAATCGGAAACCTCCTCAGATGGGCACGTGACGTAATTTTACTACCAATCTACCGTCTTTTGTTAACTGGGTGATAACAACGCAGCGCGGGTGTTGACCGAAAAGGGGGTGCTTAGCTACGATATCCTGATAATATTATCTCTTTATCTAACGTTCTCTTTAAATATCACCGCAAAATAACTACATTGTTCTGTCCTTTGTGTGCACAGTCATTAGCTGTCGATCAGTCACAGATGGGTGAATAATGTTAAAATAAATGTTAAATAAATAGAGGGTATGTGATGTATATTAGATTCAACTTCTCCGGATAGGATCCAGTGGCGACCTCTAGTGAACACAGCAATAAACCTTTGCTTTCATAAAGGGCGGAAATTTATTGACTGTCAGGTTCTTGAGGAGAACTACCGTATATCTAGTACAGGAAATCTGCATCAGTTTATAAAACAATGGGAAGGTGTGAGCTAGGCTCACTACGATTCTGAGAACACTTTCCAAATAGTTATAGGCTATATGACGATTTGTTGATCTACAGCTCGCAGGGTGTTAGTCACTGCAAATATAAATCTAGGCCCGGGATATTTTCGACAATGCTATCTAATATTCAGTACAAACATCTCGCAGACTTTCAATCTAAACATTTTCCAGCATTCTCTTTATGCTAAAACTGTCCACGAATCTGTATACGCCTATGCCATTTTGCAGCAATGGTTCACAGCAGATAAAGAATCATCATGTCTCCGTGCACTGCTTACGGTGAAAGTAGAAAATTCACTTATTCTCCTATTGGACACACAAATATTACAGTGTCCATGATGGGATGACAATTCAGGAAATTAATAAGTACTGAAGCATCGAGGTGTCGTCGTCTGGAGTGAAGTGTTCGAGAATTTAAACAATTCAAAATGGGATTGTGATTACTTAAAATATTAAACTTATAACGGCAATGACACAAATTAACAGCTTTCCTTTGCCGCTATATCTTCTGTTTTATTAGACTCTGTCAATGAAATATTTCCCCATATGACAAACGTGGCCTGCATTCCAGCGTTTTCCCATAACGTACAATTATTACATTACTGGGATACTGGGAACGACCCGTTCTTCAAGTGCCTGAGCACTGCGGGTCCCAACTTTTTTGTTGGCTTGATCTATAGACACTCGGTAGGACACCCTGGACGAGGGATCGGCCCGTCGCAAGGCCTCTACCTGTACACAGGACAGCACATCACAGAAAACAAATATCCATGGCTTGAGTGGGTTTCGAACCCACGGTCCCTGCCACCAAGCGGCACAAGGCCCACGCCTCGGACCGCGCGGCCACTGCGGACCCCAATTATTACATTAAACAATTAAATTATCTAAATAAGAGAAATTATATGCAATAGACCTACAAATAAGCCCTAGAACGTAAAATAAGTCCCAAGGTATAGCCCTGTGATAAGGAGGGCTAAGCCCTTCTCTGGACAAGATGAACTTCCCCCAGTGTTCATGTTCCACACCAAGAAAATGCATGGGGGAGCATAAGTAAAGATACACGTATTCTTAATTTCGGCACTGATTGTGGGTAAGCGGTCAGCTTCACTCTCTAACCCAGTGGTTATCAAACCTGGGGTACGCGTACCCCCGGAGGTACGCGAAGACATCTTAGGGGGTACGTGAAATTTTTTAAAAAAAATTATGATAAACACTGAATAATCAGTAATGTTATTTATTTTAGATGTAGATTATATACTATGTATAACCTGAATTATACACCAACAACTTTGGGGGTACAAAGTTGAAGAGAAATTATATCTGGGTGTACGCGAACAAAAAAGGTTGAATACCACTGCTCTAACCGATCTATCCCTTGGTCAGAAGTCCCAGTAACCTTTGTACAGTGCTGTAAAAATGAGGAGAGGTGCAGCAATAGAACTGCATTAGTTTAAAATTACTTGTCTTTGTTAAGGCTGTGTAATTATCAGTTGAAAGTTGGTGAGCACCGAATTATATCACCATTGCCACACTTCGGGCTGATCGCAAATGACATTTGATGAATCTGGCACTTAGTAGCTGCAGAAAAGTACGCATAACACTTCGTTGTTTTGTATTGACCTCTGACTGACCTTCGTTTATTGCTGACACAATTCTGTTGTTGCAGACATAAATGTACAAGGTCATCAAAACAAGTCGCGATAGTTTTAAATGCCTGCATTTATTGATGTATTTCACTGACATAAATTAAATTGGTGTCATTGAGCACATAACAAGGGGGAGGGGTTCTTAAATTAAAATTAAATCCGTGGCGTAACAGCCCTCTGAGAGCCAAAGCCGACTAGCTTGACTGCTGGCCTCACGTTCACATGCCTAAGCAGAGGTGAACGATCATCCAACCAGATATATGGTGACGTGTGGTCAGCACGACGAACCCCCAGCCATTGCTAGCTTTCCTGACCGGATTACGCTACTCATTTTAGCTCCCCAATTTCCTCACGATGCTGGGTTGGCACCGGTCCCATACACCGGTCGAAAGCTCCTGAGAAAATTTCTTCTCCCTAGAGACTCGAACCAGCGCGCGTCCCGTATCGCCGGTCCGAAGCATGATGCCTCAGACCGCGCGGCTAAGGCGCGGGACGGGGTGGGGGTGGGGTTTCTTATTAAAGTAAAATGATATTCAGTATGTGATCCCTGTGCGTCCAATATCATCTGCTGACGTGAACTGAAACTTTCCGTATGTGCAAGCAGTTTTTATTTTATGATGCTCTCCAAAATAACTGATTTCTACCTTAAATCATTCAATCCATGTCAATGTCCCTGCAGGAATACCCATAAGAGATAATGAGACGGATCCAAATTTAGCGATCACAGTAGCCAAGACCATTCGATTCCCAATCGTCCAGGATATCGATTGAGTTGGCCGTATCACGAGTATGTTCTCTCAAAAAATGACGAACTACACTCGCAGTACGTGGTTTTGCCCCGTCATATTGGTATACGATGTTTCTTCCATGTCCACCCCAATTTCTTGAAGAGTCAGAACAGTGGTCATGAAGAATTTCAGGTAACGTTCGGCATTAACTCTGTCGTCAAGGAATATTGGCCCGTCAATTCCAGACCTTGCATTTTTGAGGACGCAAAGGTGTCTCCATGATTGCTTTGTCGGTGAAACAATGGAATGACTTTCAGATACTGTGGAAATGAATCTCAAAAGGCAACTCAACTAATCTGTCTTTGCCAGCGTCTACCAGGGATTTTTTCATCTGAATTTTGTCGGGAAAGCTGTCGGTTCAAACTCTCTAACTCCTCAGTTAGTTGTGTTTTGCATGTAAAAACTGCCTAAATCGTAGATGATCCATACTTGCCTGTGTTTACAGTCTGTTAAATTTAAAAACAACATATTCGACACTAGATTATATGAGCTTCTTATCTTGTATAAGAGGTGAGGCTATTAAGCTCCCGGAATGACCCCGTAAAAGCTGTATTTAATTACTTACACACAAATGGTTCCAGTCGCCTTTGAAGTAGTCTCTCTTCACACCAGTACACTTAGTGAGTCAGAGTTTCCACTGATTAAAACATTTCTGGAACTTATTTTTTGGAATGCTCTTCAGGATGGTCGTCGTATGTTCCTGAATATCGGCAATGTATGAAAATCTGTAGCCGTTCAAAGCGGTCTTCAGTTTTGAGAACAGCCCAAATTCGCACGGGGCCAAATCTTGTGAACAGGCGGATGGTTCAAATTCAATATGGATTTTATGGCCAAGAACTCTTGGTGAGCGAGCTCATCATGAGTGTGGACAGTGTCACGATAATTTATCCAAGCATCAGGCCAAAGAACAGGTCTTCTCTGACGAACAGCCTCACGTAACCTTGCCAGTACAGTGGAATTTGGATATAACGCGGGTTTCGGGAAACAACTTCAGTACCCGCGTTATATGTGAAATTGACATTTATATAATTTTGGAAACCCTGATATAATGTATTATTATCCAGTGACTAAAATACATGACATTTAAGGAACAACAAACTTATATTTCACCAATACTATTAGCACAGACCACTCTAAATTACTTAACATTTATGCCTCATTACGTAAATAGTCACGTAATGTAGTTTGTTGGAGCTGATGACTTGAGTATTTTCGGAACATGTTACTTAACATTAACCAGATGCCGCATAAGAAGATATGCACTATCAGTCTGTCGTTCTAACCATGTCATCACTTCATTAATATTTTCTAACACTTTGCTCAATTTTGGTAACAATATTTCACAGGGATCACCACCATTGTTTTTTTTATTCACTGGCTACAAGTTCGTCAGTTGTCTTCCCATTTTTCACAGAAACTGCGATGTCCTCTTCACTAAGATGCTGTGTTTCCTCATCTACGACTGTATATATTTTTTTCTTTTGGTCGACATCACCGTAGCTCGTTTTGTTTCTTGGTTTGTTTAACGACGGTTTTCACTGTAACACTACTCACCTCTTAATACACCCACAATGAGGTACAGGTAGTTTTTGTAACTTCCCTCTCCAGCTCTGCGGGATTTCCAACCATCAACATTCGAGCAGGTAAAATAATTAGCATCAGAACAATCAAAAGTGATGCTCACTAAATTTTGAAGTTTGAACAAATAACCCCAAGGTTAGAGAAACTAGAAACATACCTATTCATAGCTGACTATGGACTTTACCCTAACAGCAAAGAATGTTGCAATACAGTCTTATAATGTAACCAAAACATTTAATAGAAATTTTTACGACGTAAAACATATGTAATCGTTTTGGGGGACATGATCACAGCCGCGGTATATCCAAGTCCGCTGCATAACGTCGATGTTCCACTGTATTTTTAAATAACAATGCTGGTTCACTTTTCGACCTTATTCAACAAACTTAACTAAAAATGAACAATGTTCTCGTGATAGAAAAGCAAAGTCCAATTCTGTCTGTCGTCGTCTTTCATATCTTCCTGACCCTCTTTAAAACTTTTATACCACTCAAAGGCACTCAACTTTTTCACAGCATCAGCATCTTAAACCTCTGTAAAGTTTCACTCGCGCTTTGCACATAAATTGATTTGAATGCGTTGCTCAATGAATCTTCACGCATGTTTCCGCCGGGACGAAAACACACGCTTGTGTAACTCTGCCACTGCTTCATTTGGTTTACCAGCGCAAAAGACGCAACTGTAGACACATCATAACACGTCACTACTTAGTTGTTGCTCACTCGCTACTCGATGCGACGTAATATACCGGCAGTCAGGAAACCTAATTGTCACACTTCGTACACCGCTTTCTGCATTTCCCAACAAAATCCTATTGTGTTACAACCAACAGCAATTTAAGAAGCCCTGACATGAATTATCTGTGGTAAACAGTGACAGTGGCGGCAGAGAGTGGTAAGATTTACAAACATGGTATTAACTGTGCGTAAAAGTAAGACAATTGTGCATCAGTGAATAAGAGAATTAGAGAGGCAATGGAGAAAGTTAAATCAAAACAGGTAATGACATTCAATTATGGGCTTCTGTTTTTTTATTAAACCATGAAATACAAGGTTTGAGCTTCTAAATCATGTATTTATTACTAGATGTCTGCAGTGACTGTAAATGCTATCTTAAACCCATAACCTTGTTTTACTTCCATTTGCTGTCAAATGCTGTTTGGTAAGAAACAGTAGGTCACTTTTTTCCCTTGTCATTGTCATTCACATTTGAATTTTTGAAATATAGATTTTGATGTAGGTCAAATAAACCATTAAATTTAAGTATGTAAAATCTACAACTGTGAATGTTGATAATACTGCATGTTAATGACAATCTTTTCGGCTGATAAAGCAAGCTAGGGCACAAGTGAATAAGGGGTGTCCAACTTTTAACAACTGTTTGGCTGTTGGTCAATTCACTTTATTTTAAATTCTGACTTTTATTTTTAGAACAAGAAGAAAGAGCCATACCAAATAGAAGAAGAAGCCATTGCAGGATCAGTTCCAGATGCTCCACTCTTAGGAGACTTCCTTTGTGATGATACAAACGTGGTTTCCAGTTGTATCTGTTCAGAAGATTCCAAAAATATTGAAAGTGAAATACTTGATGCAGTTAAGGATGATGGGGAGTGTATGCAGAAGGAAGAAGAAAGCCAACGTGATATCCATTGTACTGACCCAAATACTGTTCAGAAGCAACTGGAGAATGTATCATTGGCAGATATTAAGATTGATTTGTCTACATGTGTTGTTGATAACCTAAAGGAATTACAGGAATCACACAGTTGCAGAAAATCAGACACAGCGGTTGGAACTGAGTTGCAGGAAATTTATTCATACACATTAGCTGTGATCGAATCTAGGAATATAGAAGCTGACACTAAATTAGAATCTCCAAGACGTTCCATGGCTGACTCACAGAACAGACATGATTCTCATAAGAAACAAGAAAATTCATCATTGCAGCCTTCTGCTCCTATTGAAATACCCACAGTGGAACTGAGTCATATTAACATTCCCAAAATTATAGTGCCATCAGCAACATCAGTGGAAGAGATCGGTGAAATAAATATAACCACATTACCAAAAGAAGATGTTATAGTTGTTAAACCATCTACATCTTGGTATAGTAATAATATAATTTATTCAGAAGCTGCGGTAGATGAAATAAGGCCTTTTACTGAAGCACAGTTGTCATCTCTTTATAGCAATCAAGAACTGGAATTGAATGCTGAATTTGTGTCAGAATTTGTGGAGAACTATCTGCGTGGTGGTCGACAGCAGCATCATCTATATGAACTCTTGGTGAGCTACTTTCGTGCCAGAAACAGACTCATAGTCAATTCAATGGATCTTGAAGCACTGAAGAAAGAATGCAAAGAGCACCAGAATAATCTATGGATGGTTGAGACAAGTGTAGTGTCTGAAAATGGAGAATGTCAAGATGGCAATCCAGTTTCAGCATCGCATGAGTACAAAGTGTCCCGATTCAGCAAAATGGCCTTATCTTCTTTGACTCGATCATTGTCATCTATCAAGGAACTTGTCAATGAAATGCATTCACTAAACTCGTATTCTTCCGAGGTTCTCAGGCTTCAGATAGAGCATTACATACAGAGTGTTGCATATTCGTGTCCTGAATTACTGCGACTGCCTCACAATGCACCAGTGAATCTTTACGTGGGTGAACCTGCACCTCATATTGCATCATGCATCTCAGAGCTGCGGATGTGCATAGCAATCCTCTTTACATTCCAGAGACGTTTCGTGAAGGATGCTCAGTTTGTGTCAGACACAAGAGATTGGCTGTCTCGCTTGGTGGCTGTCCTGCTCCGTGTGGCATCATGGAGGGATCACTTGTTCCTACTGAATCATGTGCTGAGATGCCCTGCCGATATAGGATCATGGGCTGTTGGTTATGTTCAGGCTCCTCCTCCAGCACCTCTGTCTTTTGTTGACAGTGGTCAGTATAGTTCCTACCCTTCTCCATTCTCAAATTTTCACCTGGACCATATGGTGACAATGTTGGCAACCATCCTTTTGCCAGTTCGAGAGAGGGAACATTTCCTGGAACAGGTACTGTTTTCAGACTTTTTGAGTTCAGATTTTGAATTGATTTGTATGTTAAGTTAACTTTGAGCATTAGTGTGTTATATTGTATAGGAGGGTTGATATTTTTGTCACAGTATTCCCACTTTCTTTTATTTGTATCATTCTATATGGTGAGACTAGTAAGATTTAAAATTTAATGATTATATTATTTAGTGATCCACATTTGTACATAATTTCCACTAGTACAGATTCCAACTAAGTTGAATTTATCAGATTTTAACCCTGTGTTTCCTACTGCCACCATTTCTGTAACTGTTGATGTGTAAACAACACCTTTTACAGAATTCTTAACAGTTCAGTACATATACACACATAATTTTTTTTAAATATACATTCCATGGATCCAAACATGAGCTGAAATGTTGATAGGATGTGGAATAATTCATAAAAATACAAAACATGCAGATAAATATATGTCAAGATACTGTAAAGATTTCACATAAATAAAGGTTTCACACAAGTATACAAATTTTATGTTAAATTCCTACATTTCCAAAGTTTTACTGTAAAAATAGCTATCCGGTACATGCCATTTAGGTGCTCAGGGGGGAGAGGTGGAATAGCTCCTACTCATTCTCAGCTTCTGCACTGAATGGGGGTTGGGGGTAGTGATCAGTGTCATACCTCAGCCATGCTTTACACCTGGGGAAAGGACCCCCATTACCCATTGGATAGTTGACTGGGTGGGCTACAGAGCTGGTCTGGACTGAGAGGCTACAAGAAAAGTATCTGCCCTTGTTGGGGATCAAATCCTGATCGTCCTGCCCATTTTCAGTCACTTTACTTACTTGGCAGGGTCATTATAAGATAAACTGACTCTCAACTGTATTTCTTCTTTTAAACATCACATGATCTTCAACTTGCAACACTTCTTATTTCTTGTCATCATTAGCCTGGTGTTCAGTAATAACATATAAAACATTACTCTAAGGAACCGTATTTTAATTAATGGAAATCTTTATTCTTCATGGTGGTCTGTTGACAACTTGTGCTGTTGTGAGTCACGTGGTCACCAATTCATAATCTTCATTTTACTTTCTTGTAATTTCAGACTGTTAACAAAGAAACAGTGTACTGAAATGTTTGAAGGTGAAGGTAGGTGTTTATATCTTGAAAGTTGTTGTTGAACATATTTATTTTGCAGGTTCAGACATCAATGAGGGAGTCATATTCTCATGACTCAGAAAGTGATGGACCAAGTGGACTATGGGTTTTGGTTGATTCAGATGGAGAAGAAGATGATCTTACAGGTTGTCGATACACAGGTTGGGCCACTCATTTGCGTGAAAATGATCTTGTCACACTTCTAAACCAGATCCCTATGGATTGCCTGTATCGACACATTCTACTGGTAGAGAGGCGTGATGATCGGTAAATACCTGGTGTAGTCCACAGCTGTGCTGTTATAAAGTTTAAGTAATGTTTCACTCGTGGCTGGAATTCATACAGTTTTCTGGAAGGAATTTATATAAAGAAAACCTAAGTTATTTCATTATAATGTATCAAACCAATGAAGTTTTTTTCACCAGGTTCATAATAACTGCTTCAATTTTTCCAGTTTTTAATGACCAAATAATATAAAGAATCCATTATTGCTTGCTGTATCTATTTCATTGCACTTGTTTGTATTCTGGCTGTTGAGTCTTGAGTAGACTTAGATAAAACTTAGTAAAGGAAGGTAACATTAATGATGATTATCAGAAAGATATTATTTTGAACAAAATTGCCATATGTTTCACTTTATTTGAATGCCAAAATAAAATTACATGTGTGTTTGAAAACATTTTTCAAATCTGTACCAAGGTCACGTGTTTATTGTTAATGAGAAACCATAGGTTGAGTACGAGTATGTGGTGACTTGAGGTTATCAGAAAACATGTTCATGGCTGTTTTAGGTACAACCATAGCATTTGTCTAGGGGGACGGAGTAAAATCATTAAGCAATTTATAAATGATTCCTTGACTTAGATTTCAACTAGGTATATTCTGCATGTGAATAACAAATGTTGCCCATTTTTAAAACGGATTTGAGTACAAGAGAAGCACTTATGAGGGGAAGGTATTATGTAAACACAAAGATTTCATTAAACCTTCTTATAGTAAAGTTAAACGATACAAACATTTTCTGTTTGTTGTATGGGGGTTTATGAAAAAGTGATTGTTGTCTGTATAATGGAATGTATATTGTTTTGCAGGGACCCAATATTTTCTTTAGTGTTTACTGTAGAGAAATTTATAAGGAAATTTATTTATTTATTTATTGGCTAAGTCACTAGATTATGTCTTTGTGGAAACTAGCATTTAGAAATGGATATCGAACACAAGGCAAGAATTAACCTCTGTAGTATAGTATTCTACAGTTTTTGAAGGTGAATATTAAAAGGCAACATGATGAAATTAATTTATATCTTAAATACATTTCTGTCCACATTGTCATAACCTCATTTACATGAAACTTTTCCAGCCATGTGGCAATGGATGTTGATCGTGCCATTGTAGGATTTGAGGTTTTCACAGCAGTGAGTATGAAGATTCCTGTCTTCTGGGTTGTTGCGCTGTGTAGTCTGGTCGATGTTAACCAACGTTTCAGAGGTCATACTGCCTCCGTCATCAGGGCGATGAAAATGCCAATAGGGTGTGAGGTGCTAGGTTTATAGGGCCAGAAAGTGAAAGGTGTAGCCTGCCCCGAGCCAATGGGAGCAGGCGTGGGAGTGGACCAATGGTAGCGCGTGGGCGAGTGTGGGAGAGGGAGAGAAAGTAAAGAGAGAAAGGGTGAGTTCGGTTTGATGGATCAGGGCCCTGAAATGGGCCGTGTCAGTGGTCTGGTTAGTACTGCGTTCTTTGATGTCACCAATTACCATCATATTTAAAAAGAGTCTAGTTGGTGTAATTATGCATCTCTTTCTTTCATATGCTTCTTTTTTGATAAATTTCATAAATTAACCTGTTTGTATTAGGCCACTTCCAGACATGCGTCTGTTTGTTGGTTGACTTATGTATAAGTCACACTATTGTACCCATTGCATACTAATTCAAATTCCTTTTATTTATTAATGATACACTATTTATTTAAGAGATTTATTAATTTCATTTATGTGCAGTTTTCTGTGTTTGATATAGTATAAGCGCTTGATATTTATATTGTAACCTGTTGAGGATACGGATGTCTATTTAAGTATGTCTGATGAAGGATCACAGTGGCATAAGGACCTACACTGCAGATATTTTAATATATTACTGATGTTAATTTTGCAGTATGATTAGTGAAATCATGTGGACCATGTTTGTTTTTGTCAGGGATTTGTTTGATATTAGAAGAGTGAGTGACCATCATGTTCTGCGTCTGTTTGCTTTCTCAACGGTGTTTGTTCGCTTGCTGAGGCAAGGCCTCCGTACATATGATACTCCAAGGTACAGGCAGTTTGCCAAGAGGCTGGGTCGACTTATAAGGCACACTGTCCAATATGCCTCTGATCTCTGGGAAGGCTTCAGGTACAATACTTTCAGTCACCTGTTTCAGTTAATGTGCTAATGTGTATTAATTGAAAAATTTGCAGTATAATTTTTGTTGTCTGTAGTGCTGTTACAAAGTATGGGTGTAATTTGTTTTTGATGAGATTTTGGTTTGTAACATAAACATTGAATTGTTTCATTGTTTAATTTGGTGCAATAACTGGAATAAACATCTTGGATGATCAGTCTCTGAAATGTCATATTTTTACACATGCTCATCTGAGTGTAGTTTGTCAAATTTTGTCACCATGAATGTTTGAGATTATGTATTGCACATTAACATTTTTTGTTTCAAGCTTGGGATTTATTATTGCCTTACATGCAGGATGTATGGTCAGCTAAGTGATCCAGCCATGCTGAGACGTCTGCAGACAGAGTATGATGCTTTTTTCCTTCGTGCTACACGTTGCATTTTCTCATCACAACGTCTAGGGGCATGGCAGTTTCTGGCTGTTATTCCTTACAACACAGTCTCCATATCAATGCTGTGGAGATTATTCTACAGTCTGCATGAAGAATATCAGGAAGAGGATTTACTTGCAACCTGGACTGATACAAAGATAGGTGAGCATTTACACAGACTGATGTTTTTTGAAAATCAACATTTGTCAGAATATTATGAGCAAATTGTCTGATTTGCAAGATCAGTTACTCTGCTGTTACATGTGGCATTTTAGTTTGTGTATCATATACATTATGAACCAGGATAGTTCATTCAGTGTAGTAACTGGCTATGGACTGGACGACTGGTGTTTTTTCTCTAGCCTCTGCATCCAGACTGGCTCTGGGACCAACCAGTCTTCTGTCCAGTGGGTATCGGGGTCCTTTCCTGGGGGGTAAAGTGCTGCTGGGGCGTGACCCTGACCACTCACTCCCACCTAGTGCCGAAGATAAGAATGAGTAGGAGCTATACTTCCTCTCCCCCTGTGCCTACGTGGCATATAGTGGGACAGCTTTACTTTTACTTCACTTTTATCATATACATTATTATTTGCATACTATCCATATGATTACTTCAGGTGTTCTAAATTTCAGTTGTCAGCACTGTGGACTCTAGCCTCCATACTGATACATCAAACTTTCACACTTTATTTTCTGTTATCTTCAGGTCTTGCTGTCATGCTCCATACATTTATAGAAGCAGCTGCTTTACATAAGAGTGTGACAACTACTCATTGTATACTCAGGTTCAACAGTATTGTGCATAAACTATATATTTTGTTTAAATATTTTGAATTTTACAATTTTTCAGTGCTCCTATCTTACTGTGTAGCATACTGTAAAATGCAAAGAAATATAACGAAGATTACTAATCTTAAAACGAAGAGGTAATACTGAATGACATTTCTTCCAAGTGTGACCATAAAGTTTTCTGAAAATGAATGTTGTTCTATTAGGCTGGGAATTACCATGAGTTGTTTATGGAAAAAGATATTTCTGGACAATGAGCAAAAGGTGTGCTTAGATTTTGTTGAGGACACTGTTTCTGTAGCTGAATTAGTAGCCATCTTGAACCATATACAGTGTTATAAGAATTTTGACACTGAGAGAAGTTTGAAGATTATGCTACAATCCCTGGTCATAAGATTGTGACTGAAAAGGCCAGGTGGCGTAAATACAAAAAATGAGGCTGGAAAAGCAGTGTTAAGTTTGAGGAAAGTAGTCAGTCATTCAGCTGCTATTGGATGGTTTAGAACAGTGGTATTCAACCTGGGGTACACGTACTTCTGGGGATACGTGAAGACATCTTAGGGGGGTACGTGAAATTTAAAAATATATATATTATTTTATGTTAAACACTGAATAATTATTTAATTTATTTTAGATGTAGATTATATACTATGTATAACTTGAATTATGCACCAACAACTTTGGGGGTACAAAGTTGAAGAGAAATTATATCTGGGGGTACGCGAACAAAAAAGGCTGAATACCACTGGTCTAGAAGATTACTTGTTTGAAGATGGCCATCATCTGGGTTGTCTAACATGGCGGAAGAAGACAACCCTCTTCATACTCGCTGCCTTGACAACCTGAAATATCATATTACTCAAATGTTTGTGGCAAGATAAAACTCTGTTTTCTAACAAATGGTGTCACCTTATGTTACTTTCAACATCTTCTATGATTCTGTATAGGTTTTTTCAAGTCTTGTACATAATTCAAGATCAGTCCTTTATTCTAAAACTTTTTGTTCATTTTTATGATGAATAATCAGAAACCGCCAATAGAGAGAAAGAGAAATAAAGAAAGAAAGAAAGAACTGCCTGCATGAGTCCAGTGTCTTTTTGTTGAGTCGGTAGTCAATCATAGAAATGTTTTCCATTACTGTCAGCCATCAGCACTACCATACATTTATTCTTCTTCTTCTGTGGCTCTCTGGTCCGTATTCGGTCCACGGCCTCCTCAATTCTCCTCTTCCATTCGGTCTGTTAGGTCTGTCTGTCCGAGGCTTTGATCGAGGTTTTCGAAACATCTTCCTTTTTACGGTGCAAGGTTGTTAGCCTTGCGACCAACCCCCAACCTGGAGGACCAGGGTACCTGTCTTTGTCTGACCTCTCCCCCTCGACCAATCTGGCTAGGGAGGCCCTACCAGTAGCTATGCTACCGCCAGCATAGCTCTTGGGGTCACTGAGGTACTCAAGCCCCACCACCACGATAAGGTGCAGGTACCATTAAGTGGGGACCACACATTTATTTCTCCAGAAATAAATCAGTTCATAATCTTTTAGTTTGGGCTTTTTGAATGTAACATGCTATGAACAAGTGCTTAATTTTTTCCCAGACTGGGAGAAGAAGCTGATGTCTCCACAAATGCGGCAGCAGTTTGAAGAGAAATTGACATCCATGCCTGACGCAGAATCCTTTTATCTGTTGACAACATTTGCCAATATGGCAATGGCTAGGTCAGATCCTGCAGACAAGAGTTTTGTGCGTGCTGCAACTCTTGATCTTTTTCAGGTGAGTAAACCACCACATTTTGTTAAAAGTTATCCTATCTGTTTTAAATGTTAATACCAACTGTGTGAACTTGTAAATGGGAGCAACGTTAGTCTCAGATGGAGAGATTCAGAGTTTTTGAGACTGGAAAATTTGTGAATGTAAAAAAAAATTACAAGTTGAAACCATGTTTAGTTGTTTGTTTTTTATATTAAAGTAATTACTGAATATGGATTGTGGAGCCGGGATAGCTCAGTCAATATATTGACTAGCTATGGGCTAGACAACTGGTGTTCAATCCTCGATGGGGGCAGAGGATTTTTCGTCTAACCTCTGCTTCCAGACCGGCTCTGGGGCCTACCCAGCCTTCTATCCAATGGGTACTGGGGACGTTTCCCCCCCCCCCCCCCCAAATGACCTACATGACATGTGGCGATAAGGTTTTTCTTTTATTGAATATGGATTACTTTTTCTGTAACAAATAATTAACTAATATTATGCCTTCAAGTTTTTGAATGTTGATTGCACAATATTCATCAAAGGAGAACAACCCTTTCGCTAGACATGTTGATTTTGAATCATGCCAGTGCACCTTGACAAACAGCATTTTTAGTATTTTCTGGTCATAAAACGAATACCAGTGTTTAAACATCTACTGTACTTGTCTGATGATCTCATGTAATTTGGTTCAACAGTGAAACATTTATTCATCTTCCCTCTCATGAACAAACACCATGTTATTTAAAATTTTATCAACTAGTTGTTATACAGTTCATATTTATTAAATGAAGGAATTAGATATCATCTGCACATATTCATGTGCAAAAACCTGCACTTATTATAGTCTCCCTTTTCATTATTAGCTGTACTTTTTAATGTATGTTATCTATGGTAAATTAACTCTGTGTCTGGATGTAGTTTATTACTGAAAGTGTAGAACCTCATGCTGTTACAACATAACCCATTATATTGACAGCGGATAAAAGGGGTGTCTTACTTAGGAAACTTTTACTAAACAAATGTGAATTCATTCTGTAATAAAAGAGAGTATTTTTGTAGTTGTCAAAAAAGTAACTGTTCAGTAAATATTCTGTTCTTTGAAAACTGAAAGTTAACCACTGTTGTGGAACGGACCCTGTCCTTTGTCAGTTAATTTTACTACTTGTGTTTGGAACCTGTTTCCCTCTAGACCAGCTTAATGTTATCATCCCAACATTTACTTAAGTTAAAGTGGTCTTTATCTACAGGTATTTTCTAACCAAAATGCTGCATGATTTATTTCCCCATGCATGCTACATGTGTTACCCATCAGAAGTTTTCTTGATTTAATTATCACAACAATACTACGTAAAGAGAATTTTTGCTCCGTGTATATTAATTTTTAGTTTTGTGTAAAGAATCTGCAATTATTCTTGTCTTCATAAACTATGTTTATAGATGATATATTTCTTAAATTATCATTCTTGTCTTACTTTACAAATCTTATTTTGCCTCTACAGTTTTTCATAAATAAATATTGCAGGACTTTTATTCTGCATTATGAATTTATATATCCAAAGAAATCACACTCTTCCCAGTGGATTTAGTTCATAAAACAGGGAAATTCTTCTTTCTGTAATTTATTAATTCCTTTTGCTTCACATATCTAATTTAGGTTGGATTCATGAGTACTGCTACACAAGACAGTTGTTCTAAAACATCACGAGTATTGCTGGCAAATATCACATCCCGACATCCTGCGTTGTTATCTGATATCCTTTTCAAGCTACGGGACAACTTTACACAGACTGGAAAGGTACGTATGCTCAGTACTGATGGTTTGGTATGGCAAGATTGGTCTCATTTCAGTATTAATTGAAATTTATTATCCTTCCACCCACACACACACAAACATGCGTGCACACACATAATTATGACTCCTCAGATTGAAAAGCAGTTAATAATTATTTTTGAGTGTGATTATGTTTCATACAGACAAAAGGAAGAGGAGCAGTTACTGTACCAAAGCCTCTTATTGAAATTCATGTTTCACCCACAATGTATAGTTTGTCATTGCAAGGCCTTTACTTTAGGAATCCATCAGGATAGTGGGGCTGAGTCAGTAAAATTAGGACAGTTATTGTAAAGGCAGGATGGATGGGAACCCAGTACTGCAGCTACTTACATTTAGTTGTGTGTCAGTCTGGTGTGAGGGGCTAAGAAGTAGTCAAGCTTAAGTTTTAAAAATTTAACTCTTTCTTGAACTCATTAGTACCTATATGTAACATCTTTTTAACAGTCACTAAATACGTATGTTGGCCATACAATGTATATGAAATTGTATGACTCTGTCAGAATAAACAAATTATTTCCCTAAACAGAATTAGCCAGCTGATCTTTGAAATGGAGAAGTGTTTGTTTCCTTTCCACTGTTGTGGAACGGACCCTGTCCTTTGTCAGTTAATTTTACTACTTGTGTTTGGAACCTGTTTCCCTCTAGACCAGCTTAATGTTATCATCCCAACATTTACTTAAGTTAAAGTGGTCTTTATCTACAGGTATTTTCTAACCAAAATGCTGCATGATTTATTTCCCCATGCATGCTACATGTGTTACCCATCAGAAGTTTTCTTGATTTAATTATCACAACAATACTACGTAAAGAGAATTTTTGCTCCGTGTATATTAATTTTTAGTTTTGTGTAAAGAATCTGCAATTATTCTTGTCTTCATAAACTATGTTTATAGATGATATATTTCTTAAATTATCATTCTTGTCTTACTTTACAAATCTTATTTTGCCTCTACAGTTTTTCATAAATAAATATTGCAGGACTTTTATTCTGCATTATGAATTTATATATCCAAAGAAATCACACTCTTCCCAGTGGATTTAGTTCATAAAACAGGGAAATTCTTCTTTCTGTAATTTATTAATTCCTTTTGCTTCACATATCTAATTTAGGTTGGATTCATGAGTACTGCTACACAAGACAGTTGTTCTAAAACATCACGAGTATTGCTGGCAAATATCACATCCCGACATCCTGCGTTGTTATCTGATATCCTTTTCAAGCTACGGGACAACTTTACACAGACTGGAAAGGTACGTATGCTCAGTACTGATGGTTTGGTATGGCAAGATTGGTCTCATTTCAGTATTAATTGAAATTTATTATCCTTCCACCCACACACACACAAACATGCGTGCACACACATAATTATGACTCCTCAGATTGAAAAGCAGTTAATAATTATTTTTGAGTGTGATTATGTTTCATACAGACAAAAGGAAGAGGAGCAGTTACTGTACCAAAGCCTCTTATTGAAATTCATGTTTCACCCACAATGTATAGTTTGTCATTGCAAGGCCTTTACTTTAGGAATCCATCAGGATAGTGGGGCTGAGTCAGTAAAATTAGGACAGTTATTGTAAAGGCAGGATGGATGGGAACCCAGTACTGCAGCTACTTACATTTAGTTGTGTGTCAGTCTGGTGTGAGGGGCTAAGAAGTAGTCAAGCTTAAGTTTTAAAAATTTAACTCTTTCTTGAACTCATTAGTACCTATATGTAACATCTTTTTAACAGTCACTAAATACGTATGTTGGCCATACAATGTATATGAAATTGTATGACTCTGTCAGAATAAACAAATTATTTCCCTAAACAGAATTAGCCAGCTGATCTTTGAAATGGAGAAGTGTTTGTTTCCTTTCAGGTAAGAACTGAATTTGTAAATATTATTGACATGTTCTTTGGCTTCACAGGGTTAAGAACTAAGCAGTGGAACTTACAAGACAGTTCAGTAGAGATGTTTAATAAATTTGTTTCATTGTATCCAAATCAGGCACATCAGCCTTTATTGTCCCCTATTATGTTTTTCAGCGGAATTGGCGGCTGAGTCGAGTTCTGCTCTTTGTGAGTGACCAATCAGCACAAAGGTCTGTTGGCAAGCAGGGAGACCTCAGTCTGTTCAGAAACCCTGTGGTAGAAGCATCAGCAGCCACACTGTGTTGTTGCCAATTCTTACATGTTCTTTGCATAGTGTTGTAACCATTCACTGGAATCCAGTGTTCCGTGATGCTACATCTGGCACCACTCTATGTTGTTTCCTCACTATCTTGCCCCTCCACCTACCATGGCACAGTACATGTGATTGGTGCACGCTCCTGCCGCCAATTCAGCTGAAAACGATTTTAGTGGTGATCTGTAGAGGTAGAGGAAAAAGGGTTATACTTGTTAGAATAAGTATTTGGATAACTGTGCACAAGATGCAGTAGCCAGGTAATGGAAGACATCAAAGAGAGTGAAGAGATGGCAAGACACTGAAAATGAAAGATTGTAGGAAGGTAGAAGTAATTGGAGACTTTTTGTCCATTGACCCATATGAAACAAATAATACTATAAAAAGAAGTTGGATAACACAAGTAGAAATTTGCAGACATATAGCGAAATGATACAGTTAATCAATGAATTAAAGATATTCAGGATGGTTAAACAGCTTCTCATTTTCTGTTTAATATCTTATTATTTTCTTGGAGAAAATGAAAGAAAACGTCACAACAATATGAAATGTTGTGTAATATGTATGAAACATTTTGTGTGTGTTTTACCATACTCTTTTGATTGCAAAAATATGAAGTACTGGAAATGTGGCTTTTGTCTGAGTTTGGATTTACCATTGTTCTTTTTATCTTCTGAACAGTTTGTTGTAGAAAAGAAAGTTTCATATTAAAAATGTTAATTTTAGGGAATAATTGCACAGATAGAGGTATTATAATATTTTTAACACATACGTGCTGATATTCTGGAACCCTAAAATTCACAAAGTGGAGTTTTCTCTTTATAAAGTAAGGGAAAAAAAACTGTGCTTTCTTAATTTGCTTGTGAGCTACAAAAATTCTGGAACTGACTCTGAATTCAAAGGCTGGTTTTATGAATTTTACTTTAGAAATACTGCATATTGTCCACAGCTGAGTCTGTACCTCTTCAAGGAGTTACCCTTGCAACTATGGAAACCAATTGAACAAGATCTCTCCATCATTTCTCACTGGCTTCTTGAGTGCCCAATAAGCTCCATAGAAAACCAGTTGGCTCGCCAGATCCTCACCAATCTGAACTGGGGATGTGAGGGTCGAGGCCCTCATGGAGGTATATTGTCTCTTCCACTGGAATTACACCAGTGTGTAGCTATACTAGTGGTGGAGGCTGCACTGCGCTTTACACCAGACACAGTTAGCGCGGCTGGTGCAGGAATGATTACTGAAAGTGTGAAACAGGTATGAAATTAGGAAAATGTTATGTTTCTGTTTTTATTGCTATATTTTATAGGGTAATTTTTGCCATGTCACAGTTCATGCACCCCTATTTTCAATATATGAAGGCGAAGTGTAAAGTTTTCCTTAAGAATACCATGTGAAGATATTATATGTTTTGAATGTTTGTTGTTATATATTGAAAAATTTGTGATAGTACAATGTTGGTTTTATAATGATAAATGTAGAGAAATTATGCTGTAGTAATGAATAGAGTGAGTCACCCTCAATAAAGTAGTGGTTAGTGTGCTCACCACTGGACCCAAGGTTTGCAGGTTCATACACAGCCTAGATCAATCGATTTTTAAGGGTGATAAAAATCCTTAGCACAACTTCCTTTGGAGGGGAAGTAAAGCTGCCGGTCCCATGTCATAGATTTACGGCATGTAAAAGTACCTCATGAGCATGAACGAGATGTTTCGTAAGCAAAATTCAGCAGCCATTTCTCACCCATGTCTCTCCTGATTCTCTACTTAATGGCTCTAGCAGACAGAAATCATGATTGAGTAGAAATTGTGCAGAGGCAGTGGGCTTGTCACACAATACTCATAAATGCACATTTCAAAGACAAAAACCTCCCACATGGCAGGAGGCCAAGGCTCTGTTTGGGCTGTTGCGCCATAGAAAGGAAAGAATGAATAGAGTGAGACAACCCACTTATAGTGGAAATTTCATAAGAATAAGAGAATAATGGAGTATTACTTTTTTTGTATAACAAATGTATATATGAATTTTGGAAGAAACAATAGCTATAATAATGAAGTTTGACAGGACTTGCATGTAATCATATTATCCGTGGTTTTCGTTGCCTGGAACCAAAGCATAAAACCAAGACTGTTCTGATCACTAGGTATGTTCAAGGGATTAATCATTTCTTCTTTTTAAGGTATTCATTGTGAGTTTATGTCCTGTCAGAAGTAAGTTCATAAAATTATGTTTTTTGAGGGTGGTGTGACAAGTGTATTTCCTTACTGACAGGTGATTTGTTGGGTAAATTTACATTCTTATATCTTATATTTTCAATGTAATTTCATATAATTGTAATTCCCTCTCTCTCAAGTCATGTTCTTTGCATGGGCAACTATGGCATAAATACAAATGAAACATTTCCTATGCAAACGAATGCCCCCCAAAACTTTAGATTAACCTCTCAGTGCTGTAGGACATTTAATTCTTACTCAGTCCTGGGGATAGAGGATACATAAACATTAAACATTAATGTTTTTAATTTGAACTGTGATAAATCTGGAAGAAATAATTTGTGTTGAATAATTTGGACGCTTTTGAGAGTAGTACATAGAATCAGAATATTGATACCAAACCATTTTAAAATTAATTTTGGTTCTGTAAACATATAGAAATTATGAAGGAATAGTATTTTATTACCCTAGAAATTGAACTTGGTGTGGTAGTCTTGAACACATTTCATGCAGAGTCTAATGTCATATGCATCACACAGCCTCTTCCCTCTTCCCAGACTTCTGACAAATAGCACACTATCTCTGGTCTTTATTTCTTCTCAGATGTTGGAAGCTTTCTTTCTTTCCGTTAGTTGTGGCATTGTGTAGAAAGAATGTAAGCCTTGCACTTGGCATTCTGGAACATTTGCATCATACTTTACAGATAGTCCTTCAACTAACTGAATTCTGAATGACAACTGATTAGTTCATATCTCCATGTTGTTCCTGTATATTTATTATGGCAATCACAATTGAGGTGAAGTAAACTGTTTCCTGAATATTATCCATCATCCAAGACTAAATACAATCAATAAAAACCATGACGTTTCAGAGATGGGAGTCTATCTCCATCTTTAGGTAAAACCTACTCTGTTGGGCCCAATCGATGGACCTGATCCCTATCTCCAGACATGGCAGAAGTGGAAATCATAGTAGATAGGGACTAGCTCTGTCGTTATGGCCCAGTAGTGTAGTTTTTACCTGAAGACGGAGGTAGACTCCCATCTCTGGAACGTCATGGTTTTTGTCTCCAGACATGGCAGAAGTGGAAATCATAGTAGATAGGGACTAGCTCTGTCGTTATGGCCCAGTAGTGTAGTTTTTACCTGAAGACGGAGGTAGACTCCCATCTCTGGAACGTCATGGTTTTTGTTGATTTTATTTAGTCTTGGACAGTGGATAATATCCAGAAAACAGTTTACTTCAACAATGCACTGTCATCACAAACTTTCAGAACAGAATTGAGGTGTTTAGGAGCCTGTGAAGTAGCTTCATTTATCACTTGTTTATCCACTTTCCCTCAGTCAATTGCAGACATTTTTCTTTCAAATAAACTCACCCATGCATTTATTGTATTCCAACGCTGATATGGATTTGACCATTTTCTTTCTCCAATTGTAACAGACATGGTGTTGTGACTGTGATATGTGGAATTATAGTGATGATTTGTTGTCACTCCACTCTGTGACAATGCTGTGCTATTATTTTGCCTTTTTTCAGTTTAGTCTTTCACTTTTGTGGGAACTTTCTTTCATTCAGTATGTACGTGCACAGTCCATCATCAATTCTGTGGCTAGACATCATGAGTTATAGAAATTATCCATCCATACAATCTGTTTTAATGAAGGCTGTACCAGTTTTAGAACAATGGCTGTTGTTTTATTAGTTTCAGCTGTGATCACAGGGTAGTTGAGTTTTGTATTCTTACCTGTGTTTATAAGAAAGTAAACAAGTTCCCATTGGTAATGTCACACAGCTCATAAGTTTTAATTCCAAATTTTGTTGCCGTGAGAGGGTGGTGGTGTTTGAAAGACAGACGGCCTTTCCAAAGCATCTGTGATTTATCAGTCAAAATGCCCTGTTTTGGTAAATATAGATACTGAAATGCATTTTTTTTATTTGTGAAACTACAGGGAAAATTTTGAATTGTTTTTGGTCCTTGAAAAATGTTTATGGTTTCACTGTTAGTGAAATGCAGAAACTTACAAATTAATTTGAATCTGTCTTTTTTATAATGTCCCCAAATCCTGGTGTGGAAATTGCCTTTTGTTGTGAATAATCTTAGGGTAGGTCTTTAATAATGCTTGTCAGTATGAAGGGTCCCATTACAACATAAATTTTTCTGTGTCGCTGGATTCCATACCCTGTTAGTTAACTTGCATTATTATTTATGCCTGCATAGAAACTGTTTGGCGTATGTATTAACCTTTTTAATGATTTTATATCTGAATTTTTTTTAAAACATCTACAATATCTGCAATCTGTTTTGCGGTACCTTGGTTTTCAACAATACCCATGTTCTCTGTGTCCCTTGTAATTGTTCATGTCCCATAAAAAGTCTTGAATAGTATCATCTTCATCACAATTATTACCCACCACAACAACAAGAATGGCACAGTCATCCAGTTTATTCTCAATATCAAAATGCAAATTTGATGAACTTTCTTCATATTTGCTTCCTGCTTGTAGATGCCATAGCATCTACATGCTAACTGCATGATGCATGTGTATAGAGCAAAGGGTACTGTACAGCAGAAGCATTTATATGCAGATGTGTGTTCCTACATGGCTGGAAATCTTCCGTCACACCCTTGTGATTCAAGATCAAGGGTCAAATTCAAGCTCTAAAATCTGTGAGCCATTTCTTGTAGTTATAAATACCTAAGTGAAGGCAGCTGTGTCTGGATCATGAAACAATGCTTGCAAACCCTCAACATTGTCAATTGTTTGTTTCAGTCAGCATGCAGAAGACAGTCAGTGTCATATTTTATTCATATTGATCTAATGCATTTAGTTGACATGAATTCTCCCATGTTATAGACAGGCCTGGATGTAATTTAACATACCATCTTGTCAGGCAGGGAAATTCTGCAGAGATTTGTACTTTAATATAAGTGAAGTGGGAAAGTGAAAGTGTGACAGCCTGTACATGAAATAAATGATTTTTACAGGTATCAAACTTAGCAACTTCTTTGGTGCGCCCTCAGTCTGCTGAACAAGCTTTCAGTTTGTGGGCTTGGGAAACAGTTACTCGACTACGGTTGCATATCTTGGATCAACCAGACCATGTAGTGTGGACAGCTATGGCCAGTCCCGCTGATGCATTATCTAATGTTCCTGACATGGATTCAGACATTAGACTGGAGGTGATTGCTCGTGGGGTAAAAGAGAGGCAACCAATAGCATCCTATATAGCTGTATTGGCTACCACATGGGGTCATAGTGTGCCTCTGATTTGTACTAAGGGCTTCAATCAACTTCAGATACTCTTGTGCTATTACAAGTATGATGCCATACTGACTGTTCTGCAATATACTATCCCATTGTTCCTGAATTGTGAGGAGTCGCTGATCAAGTGTGATAGGTAAGGAATTATATTATTGCATATGTTGTTATGCATTTGACCAAATAAATAGATGAGTAAAATGTAATACATGAAATGGATGTATAAATTTTGCTTCTGTTATAAGTAAAGCATTTAGAGAGTTTTCGTCTTTTGTGATTATACCGCTAATATACATACCAAAAATTCTGTTTGTATAGAATTTTGAACAGTTTCAAGAATGTTATTTCATAACTGATGTAACATTAAGTACATAACAAGATTGGAAAGGCTTAATCCGTTCCGGAATATGTACGTGATATATTTGCAAATTATGAATTATTAATCAGTTATCTTACTCGTATAACTTTAGTTTCCATCTGTACAAATCATGTGGTCTTCTTCAAGTCATATAAATCAGTCGTAATGCAAATTAACACTGTGGTAGAGTACTGGATGTAGGATTGAATTCAGGTTAAATCAGAATATTTTTTCTTTCTTTTATGCAGCTGCCATGTTGAATTTTGCATTATACAAAGAATTACAATAGCAAAATTTTGTATTTTCTAAAAATCCATAACCATACATCAATGTATAGCCCTGTTGCAAATGGTACTAGTGATGATCCCACTTCGCAAGTTTATTTGTCCACCATGTTTCTGTTACTGATTATAGAAAATTGTGAAATATGATTTTAGGGTAGTCCCCATGGTATAACATACATACCATATTTCATCCAAATCTGTCCAGACATGACAAGTTTTACATATTTAATTTCATACATGTTATACAAAGAATTCTTAATAAGCATTGTTGGTTGCTTGACTGTTGAGGGATTTTGGACCTTATGTGGTAATATTTATGAATGTGTATATGGTTGTAACTGGTTCCATGGTAATGCTGGTAATGAATTTTGGGCTCTGTTGGCTAGCATTTATGACTAATGATTACTTATCCATGGCCTGCTATGTACAATGCAGCACGGCTATTGTAACTTTGATATGTGATCATGTCTGAACTGGCATGATGTTCTTACAGTTTTATGAAGATTGTTTTCTGGATTCATACATTATTGGGGTGCACATGTTGCTGATATACATGTAGAAGTGTGTTCACAATAATATCTTTAACCAATCTTTCTTTATAAAAGAAGGGGAAAATATCATAAAAATGAAAAATAAGATTTTGGAATAATGTTTCTTGTGAACATTCTTGTAAGATCAGAAAAAGGCTGAAATAGTTTTTACTTCATAGCCAAGCCAACTTCAGAGTTAATTTACTAACTGTTCTGGAAATTGTTTGTTGATTAGTAATTATGGTACATAATGTAAGAATGATTGAGTGTTTCTTCTATCAGATTCTCTCTTATTTCTGCAATGAATGTTTTCAGATTTGTCTCAGTGTTGATCTCACTTATAATGGCTGATCGGACTTACATGAAGATGGCAAAGAACCTCATAGCACCAGAATTTCCTGGGCCAATACTAAAGCAGTTTGGAACTATGATTGAATCGCAAATGGAGAACTATAGAAGGTATGCCATATGACAATACAGTGAAACCTCTATCCATCGTTCCCGGAACTATCGTTTTCCCGGATGCATCGTCCGTTTTGTTCGGTCCCGAATACATCCCATATAAAATAATGTTACATTTTCCCGCTTCTATCGTTCCTCGAACTATCGTTTTATCGCATCGATCGTTCAAAAATCGTAGTCCCGGCCCACAATTTTCCCGCAATGATCGTTCCTGAGAATTTAAAATGCTGGGTTTAGAGATAAATTAATACCGAAAGACGCACAATGTTTTTGGAATAAACAGTAGCGGTAACCTGTTATGTCGCCCAACCAGCACATTCTTTTGGAATGAGGGTCAGCGGTGCAGGGGTGATAGTTGGAGTGAATGGCGGTGCTCATTGTCAGAAATTTTACGATTTTAATTAGGGTGCACTCATATTTCGTTCCAGCGATGCCAGATGGCATGTGCAGTGTGAATTTCTTCACAAATGCTTTTATTACAAGTACAAAGGAAAGGCTGGCGGCACTTTTCATTCTTCTGATTCATCTCGTTTCCAGCGGTTCAGGGTCTTCTACAGCTACGTTTCGTTGAGTTCGGCAGTAATAGTATTTCCATTCTTCCTGTTATTGTTCGCGAAGGGGGTTGGAGTGGTGAGGAAGAGGAAGACGACGAATGCGCGCCCGAAGCTTTGCCGAGTTTTGCCGAAGCGCACGCTGCATTGGCGAAAGTGAAGTCGTTCTTTTATGCGCTTAATATTAGTGAACGTGACGAAGAAAACATTTTGAACGTGGAAAGTGCTCTGTTTGGTCTAAAACGTAAAGTTTCAACAAACCAGTTGTCCATTAAAGACTTTTTTGGTAGAAAGAAGTAACTTTGAAAGAGAAACAGTTTTTTTTAAAAAAATTTAATGCTTTCCCGCATCTATCGTTTTCCCGCATTCATCGTTTTTATTTCCCACCCCCGCCGAAAACGATGCATCGAGGTTTCACTGTAGTTTGTACAGTCTTTATTAATTCTTTGAAGGTGTAAGTGGTTCATATTAGGACATGATACGTTGTACTGCTGGATTTTTCAGTTAATAATGCAAGCTTTTATGTTATAATATACAAGTAAATTTATTGTATGGGAGGATATTGTCAGGCGGGATCTATGGGAGATAGGAGTTGAAGGAGACTGGATTTTGTTGGCCCAGGACAGAGTCCAGTGGAGGGCTTTGGTTAGTTCAGTGATGAACCTTTAAGTTCCGTAAACTACCTAATTAGTTAGTTTGTTAGTTAAACTTATTGTAAGAGACAAGGTTTTGAATATTTGGGGATTGGTTGTTTATACTGGTACTTGTTCTTAGCCATAGTATGAAGTATTTTGCTTGTTGCATCTATATGCTGATTAACCCCTTTCATGTATTCTGTGCATGAGATAAGTTGCTTAAAGACATATTTCCTGGTTTGATTTCTTTTGATGTTTGATAATATCAGTGAAGGAAATATATCCCACTGTTTGTCACCAATTAAAGCTAACAATTTATTGCTTTAAAACAATCAGAGTTTGTTCTTAATATGTTAATAGAAGAAGGTTATTCATATAAAAGCCTATATGGAAAATGTTAAGGTCATTATTGTTCTGTTATACACATCACAGTTATAAACATAGGATTTGAGTTTTTCATGGCAGTGAGTTTGAAGTTTGCTGTCTTCTGGGTTGTTGGCTACGCAGAGCAACAACCCAGTAGACAGCCATCTTCTTACAAACAATTTTAAGCTGAATCCCATCTAAAAATTTGTTACTTACCACAATGATAACACAAAGAGTTACCATTACAAAGACCAGTTATTTAATGCTGTTTTGAGAAAATAATTGCTGTTTATTCTGAGAATCAAACAAAACCCATAAATGCACTGTATGGGCAAAGTGCAGAGTTATTAATTATTGAAGCAGGTGGTACACATAATTGATGTTGGACTTTAAAGGATTAATGATAATATCAGAGTGGAACAGAGCATTATTAAAGAATATGCTTTCAGATATAGTCTGGTGAGTCCATGCCCATTTGTTCGGCTTTGGTTACTGAGCCTGAATCAGGTGCCTGACTGGACCAGAGAACCGGCTGTTTCATACCTTATGGATATTGTGTTGCGTAGAGCATTCTTTTATTCAGATGCCAGGGAAATGGCATTCCAGATCCTACAGCAGTTCCATCAGGTAATGAAGCTGTTTAAATTTTAGTGTCTGTTGTAAGTTTCATTTTATTGTAGAATGTTTTGCTTACTATCAGACTTTTTTTAATATTGTGGTGGTATGTTGATGTTGATCTTGTGGGCTTTAATGCTGTGTGGACTTGTAGGTTGATACCAACGTTTTAGAGAAACATGCTGTCTTCATCTTTAGCCTTGAATATACTGTCTCCATCTTATGGGCTGATGGAGACAGTATGTTTCTCTTAAATGTTAGTATCAATCTGTAAGTCCACATGGCATTAAAACCCAGATGACGAACATTGACATCTTCACCACTGTGAGAACCTCAAATATCCTATAATGGTATAGTGTTTAATATTTCTGCTTCATGTTTGGAATGTCCCTCAATTGAATCTGTGCTGGGTTTTTGGCTATTCTGACTGATTTCCATCCGCCTTCAAGGCAGATACTGTGATGGTGCCTTAAAGCAGGCAATGCCTCCTTCCTCGCATCTGCTTTGCCGCTTGCTATTAAACTTTATTTTGACATTTTTCATTCATTACTGTACAACCTTTGCAACTGGGCACAGCATTGTTAAGTGCAGAAATCTGTAATTAATAATAATAATAAATAGAATTATTTGTTGAAACTAGTAGATGACCAGTCTAGTTCAGATTATTTTATAGTTGAACAATAAGGTCCACAAAAATAGAAAAGAAGTGCATTTGATTTGTCAGTAACTATTTGTTGTGATTCAAACAAAAATTGAAAGTTAAGAATGTCAACCTTCAATATATACAATCACATTTTGAATTCTGTGAAAATTGTTTGTGAAAGACATGCCAAAACGTTAGTGCTGGTGGTGCTGAAGACAGTTTAAGTGCATGAGGTTGTGACAATAAAACATGCTTGACAATTGTGGTGTTATATCGTATACCACCTCACAGTGTTGTAGATGGTTACCATGAGGAGAAATTGTATCACTTCTGTGTTCAGGCTACATTTTTTAAATCCTGAAGGTATGTTTTTATTCTACTGTCATAATAGGTGTTGAAACTATGTGAACTAATTACTTCTTGGTTTTATCAACAGAAATACTTGTTTGTCAATTTATATTTTGTATTGGAGTGTAACACAGTTTATCTTTCTTACGTAGCAAGCATTGGAGTCAATGACTGAAGAGGTTGGTAGCTTAAAGTTTTATTAAAAATTGATTCTGCATGTTGTATATAATACAAGCAAAATGTGAGATACTATATAGCAGATACGAATCACAAATAATGTGGAACTGATAACTGCTGTGTTTTGAAATTTAATTATTTAGAAATATAATCACATCGACATAATTTATTGTGTCTTGTACATGCAAATTCAGACTGACTGTTTATGAGGTGAGGTGATTTTTCTGTTATTTTTATTTCATAGCACTGTAGGATTCGTGGGTAGGTGATAAATGCATACAAAACCAGTACCTATCAGTGAACTACTGAACAGTGGTTTCATCTAGCAAGAAGCGCAAGTTATTGCTGGGAACAAAAAAATCAGGATAATAATTCACAGCCACAGAATTCCAGCAGCTATGAGTTAATTCAGGATAATACATTTAGAGTCAAATTTTCAACCTTGGTGTAGTGTTGTTAGCCTGGTTATTTTAACATTAGCCAGAAATTACTTGGGTGATTAGGTCATCACGGGCTACAGATTACTTTACCATTGCATTGCATAAGAATTGTTAATGAAGTCTTTGACTTCTGGACCACTGCTGCATAGAATTATTGTTTTATAATTATTTATTTTCCATTTTTAACAAAACAATTATCTCGGCTGATCAGCCATGTCAGATGGTTAAACAATGAAACTGACTTTTCAGGGACCATCTCTGTCCCCATCATCGTTTAATCATCTGATGGGGCTGATCACCGAGAATATTTTATTGAGTTATATCACCACAAAAGCTTCAAATCATAAAAAATTTGGGTAATTTGTTGCAAAATTTTGAAATATGAGAGACAGTTTTGTCCATTCAGTTGTTTATTTTCCATAGAAAAAGGAATTGTAGTTATTATTAGTACTATAATTAGCAAAACAGTTCTCAAAAAATAAATTTTTATGGGACTATTGTAAGTGTTTATGGAGTCCTGAATATTTATTTTGTTTCAGAGTGTCACAGGAAACAAACATGGAGGTACTATTTCATCTTTTATTAGTTGGGTTGCATCTGGTTCAGCACATGCAGTGTCTTTACTTCCACGAGCTTCTAGTCTTGAGAGTCCTTGGTTTGCATATTTTGTGCTTGAAATGGAACAAGAATTGATTGAAGAGAGAACAGGACTTTGGAGAGAAGTTCTGCGGGAACTGGCAGCTACAAGTGGGAAAGTGAATGTTGATCAAACACTCAAGGTAAGCTGCTGATGATATAACACACTTCAGCGTTATTTTGTTCGATAGACTGTAAAGGACTATAAAGTAAAAAGTAAAAACTATAGCTCCTACTCATTCATAACCTCTGCACTAGACAGGGGTGAGTAGTCAGCGTCACACACCAGCCATGCTTTACCCTGGGAAGGGGCACCTGGTACTGATTGGACAGGAGGCTGGGTGGGCCCCAGAGCCAGTCTGGATGCAGAGATTAGAAGAAAAATCCTCTGCCCCTATCGGGTATCAAACTCCGGTCATACGGACTGTAGTCAATCACTATACTAACTGAGCTACCCTAGCTCCTTATAGACTGTAAGACGAAAGACTGTGTAACATTGGCGCAAGTTGGTTACATATTTCAGGTTTTCCTATAGCTCAGTCAGTATAGTGACTAGCTACGGGCTGGACGACCGGGGTTCGATCCCCGACGGGGGCAGAGGATTTTTCCTCTAGCCTCTGCGTCCAGACCGGCTCTGGGGCCCACCCAGCCTCCTCTAAAATGGGTACCGGGGTCCTTTCCCGGGGATAAAGCCGGCCGGGGCGTGATGCTGACCACTCACCCCCATCTAGTGCCGGGGTCAAGGAAGAGAGGAGCTATACCTCCTCTCACCCCAAACGCCTACATGGCGTATAGTGGGACAAACTTTACTTTACTTTACTTTCCTTATTTGTTATGTTAATTATGGTTTTCTGGATTGTGGTGCTGTGTAATCTTGTAGGTAGTCACCAACATTTTGTAGGAACATCCCACCTTTATATTCTATCATGAAGAGGTAGGTGATACATTCCTCCATAATGTTGGTCACCACTTAAAAATTTACATGGCATCATAACCCAGAATTCCATTTAACATCCTCACCATTATGAGTACCTTAACCTTAACTCACTGATCTTCTAGCTGACCCATGTGAGCACTAGGAGTAAAAATGAATGCAGACTTGTTCCTGTTTTGTAATGAGATAGCATAATATTCTGTAGTATTTAATTCCTACCAAAAAAGATTAAATGCGTATCATAACACATATGTAAACAGTAAAACAAATACAGTGGATTCCGGTTAATTGGGACACATCAGGACATGAACACTTTGGCCCAATTATGCGATGTTCCATGTAAAGAGTTAAAAAGGTTTGTTCTTTAAGATTTGTCCCAAATAAACGGCTGCCCCGGTTAACCGATGGCCCAATTAAAGGGAATCTGCTGTACAAGCAACACTTTGGAGCAGGTTTCAAATTCCACTGGAACTAGAATCAATTCTGCTGCAGAAAACTCCATATAATTTTGAAATGCTGGACCGAAAGAAAACAGTATCTTTATTCATTCAGGAATATGATCTAAATTTGGTCTTAATAAAAATAAATTGTTGCATCATGAAGAAATGTAAGTTGGTCTTTGTGACAAGGTGAGGCAAGTATGTCGTAGTTTAATATGTTTTAAGTATCTTAACTGTAGCCTGCTTTTATCCATATATGCAGGGACTCCAGTTTATCATGAGACTGATGGCTTTGAAGTAAGAGGTTGGCAGGCTGTCTGCGTCTTCCCAGAAAACTAATACAAATTTCCATGTGCTAGCCCAGATGTGGTTTATGTAAACAGTCTAAACAATTGAAAGAAAGTCCTCATGCTCTTCACATTCTTGTAAGGAGAACATTACACTGATTACCATATTTATGAAACACTCTGTAGTTTGATAACTGACAGGTCCAGGATGGCTGTCAGGCCTGGAGCAGGTATGTGTATTTGGTTAGACCAGGGAAGATACTATACTTTTAACTTGGTGCAGATGAGATGACAGCCATATTCAGACTCACCGCCATGAAAACCTCAAATCCTACACACGATACAGTGTTGCCGGCAGAAAGTATTGCGATTTTAGACTGTGCAAAGGAATGTATAAGAAGGGCCTGTACAGGTGAGCACATTTATACGTGTTTCAATATCCAGGCAGACTTGCAGGCTCTTGAGACGTTAAGAAAAATGTTGTAGCTTCTCTGGAAATGTCGGCAGGAACAAGGTTATGCTCTTCCAGATCACTAGTCACTGTGGAATTCCAAGTAATGAGGATTTGGATGTCTTGGCTAGGGAGGGATGGAGCAATTTCAGTCTCACCATGTGTTGGAAGTGCCAGGATGGAGGAAATGAGGATGGGAGGAAGAATTCTCTTACCACTTACTTTGTTAGTGTCCAAGATTAGAGATCTTTGCCTCTGCATAGATAGAGTAGATAGATATTAGGAACGCCTCAGTTTGATTCTGGCTCTAGCAGTGTGAGCAGGGCTTTTGTAGGGCTATAGCAAGATCAGGATGCACAGTCGACCCAGCAGTAGCCTAATGCCTCAGACAGTTGAAGTAGTTTTGCCTGTCTCATTACCTGTCACCAATACAACATCCTCTCCCCTTCAAAATGGTGTCTGAAATTTGGATACATCTTTTAGTCTGAAGGTGTGGCGAATTTCTTCCCTGTAGAATTTATTCTGTAAAGTATGAGTACATCTTACAGTTTGAAATATATGGCAATTTGTGTTTAATGATTTTTTTCAGTATTTTGTCCATGCCTTAAAGAGGACAGATATAGATATTTTGGTGGTTATAAATGAGTTTGATTAATTATATAACTTCATGAGCAGAATTCTAAGGACAAACTGAGTGACAAATTTACCGACTTTAATAATAATTTTGTATTTCTCTGTGTAGAAGGCAGCTCACAATTTGAAGATCCCAGCTTTACCATCAGCCAGCCTTGCTCTTTATCGGTGGTCACAGCAAGCTTTGGATACACCTCTTGATCATCCACTTCTTCCCCTTCTGTGGCAAAAATTCTTCAGCCTCTTTCTAGCAAGAGTGCCATCAGCATCAGGGTAATAATCCAGTAAATATTTCTGTGCTAATGCCTTATTTATCATATAAATAGTAGTATTGATGGAGAAGACAAATGTTCTGAAACATCCTGCTTTACAAAATATTTTCATTCTCAATCCTACACCACACATTCACCCTAAAGATGACAAATGTAGTGTTTGTTGAAACATTGAAACACTTTAACGCATGACACGGGTAAAGCCTAAAAGTTTAAGTTGTGAAATAAACATATTGCATTTAATTTCATTATTATAAGAATAAATTTTGCGAACTTTTATTTTAACACATATACCATGTTTTCATAATGCATATTTATGATCAGTACATTAAACTGTAAATATGCAATGTTAAGGAACTCTGTAAAATGTACTTTGCTGCAATAGTATGTTTATGTTCAAAATGTGCTCACTGTATTTATCATCATATGAACTTCACAATTACCGAATACAGTGAAACCTCTATCCATCGTTCCCGGAACTATCGTTTTCCCAGATGCATCGTCCGTTTTGTTCAGTCCCGAATACATCCCATATAAAATAATGTTACATTTTCCCGCTTCTATAGTTCCTCGAACTATCGTTTTATCGCATCGATCGTTCAAAAATCTTAGTCCCGGCCCACAATTTTCCCGCAATGATCGTTTCTGAGAATTTAAAATGCTGGGGTTTGAGATAAATTAATACCGAAAGACGCACAATGTTTTTGGAATACGCAGTAGCGGTAACCTGTTATGTCGCCCAACCAGCACATTCTTTTGGAATGAGGGTCAGCGGTGATTCTTCTGGTTCATCTCGTTTCCAGCAGTTCAGGGTCTTCTACAGCTACGTTTCGTTGAGTTCGGCAGTAATAGTATTTCCATTCTTCCTGTTATTGTCCGCAAAGGGGGTTGGAGTGGTGAGGAAGAGGGAGACGACGAATGCGAGCCCGAAGCTTTGCCGAGTTTTGCCGAAGCGCACGCTGCATTGGCGAAAGTGAAGTCGTTCTTTTATGCGCATAGTATTAGTGAACGTGACGAGGAAAACCTTTTGAACGTGGAAAGTGCTCTGTTTGGTCTAAAACGTAAAGTTTCGACAAACCAGTTGTCCATTAAAGACTTTTTTGGTAAAAAGAAGTAACTTTGAAAGAGAAACATTGTTTTTTTTTAAATTTTTAATGCTTTCCCGCATCTATCGTTTTCCCGCATTCATCGTTTTTATTTCCCACCCCCGCCGAAAACGATGCATCGAGGTTTCACTGTACTTGAAAACACATGGAATGATCATATGTATGTCTTCCAAGTCACTGGGGCACCACATACTTAGAAACGCGTGTAAATAGTGTATTTTCCAAAAGACAGGTTATTATTGAACATAAGTTATGCCCGTATTTTGTAACAGAGAATGTATTTTGAATTATCTGTAATAATTTGCAGCATTTTTATGAAGTTTCAGCAGTGTAATTTTCCTAACCTACATGTAAGTTGCACATCCATTTTTTGACTGAAATTTTTATTGATTTGTGGTTTATCGAAGAACACATTTTCATTTGCTTAGGTTATTGCATCCGATGATAGGATGATTGGTAATGAACTGGAAAGGATGTGGAAGAAATGGTCATGGCATAAAAGATGGTAATACCCCCAATATTTTCCTTAAGAACTGAGAAAAACCAAGATAAACCTCAGTCATGACAGCTGAACTGTGGACTGAGATTTGAACACAAGGCATGAGTACTGACCACTTAGCTATCACATTTTGTTCATGAGATGAACCCATATTTTTAGTATATGGGATGTGAAAAACCCACTTTTCATTTTAGTTTGTAATTTAATAGTGCCCAATACTCTAAGATGGCAACAGGTACATTGTTTTTTAATCTTTACATTTTTAGATAAATGATAGGAGATCAAGATTGTGAACAAGACGGTAGCAAACAATTCTGTTTTATTCCTTGTGATTTGTGAATGTTACTGTTCCAAAGAAATTGAACTTTGCCACTTACCAAAGTATCTGTTAGCCATCTTTATATAATTATTTTGTTTTGCAGTGTGGTGATGTGGCATGAACATAGCCATAGGTTTCAGTGTGATATTTCCAGACTGGCTCCTTGTCCATAGTTTATTTTTTCTTGTTTATTAGTTGCAATTTTGGCCCTGATACGAGTGTCTAGAAAGATTTTCTCAGTCATTCCAGGTAGATGCTGGCATAGATCGTTAGAGTTGTAGTGATTACAGTTTGATTCTACATGAACTATTCAGTTGATGTATCATTAACCCAGGTATCAACAACTTAATTATTTTATTGCATAAGATGTATATTCTAACTAGATGGCTTACCAAACCCAAGGGTTCATCACCGAATTAACCAAAGCCCTCCACCAGACCCTGTCCTGGGCAAACAAAATCCATTCTCCTTCAACTCCTATCTCCCATAGATCATGTCTTAGATTATCCTCCCATCTATGTCTAGGTCTCCCCAGAGGTCTGTTCCCCTCAGGCTTCCCGACCAATACCCGGTGTACACCTCTTGCCCCTCCATGTGCCACATGCCCCACCTGTATCATTCTTCTTAACTTAATCAACCTGACAATACTTGGGGAGGAGTATAAATTGTTAATCTCATTATTGTGCAGCTTTCTCCATATCCCATCATCTTCTTTTCTAGGCCCAAATATCCTACTCAATGCCCTATTCTGAAACATCTGCAATCTATATTCCTCCTTCAGAGTGAAAGACCATGTTTCACACCCATACAAAGCAACAGGCAAAATTGTTGTTTAAGGTGTATATACTGTGTGCTTTAATTTTATATATTGTTTTTCTACAAATATTTATACTTCTTCTTTGACTGGGTGTTGTTAACAGTGTTCCAGACAGAGGTGGTGTGGGAGATAAGTTCTTTGAAGGTATGATCAATCTGAGTTTTCACAAGAAACTGAAAAAACGACTTCAGGATGCTACAGAACATTACCGAGCTAAGAGCATTGGTGATCAAACACAGGTAGAAGAAGGCGTGGAGGATCAGCTGGTAGACAAACAGCAGGAGATAAACACAGAGAAGAGGAGTTGGTATGCTGAATGTTCAAGGTAAGTACAGTATGAACTTTATAGAGTTTTCATTAACTGAAAATAATATATTTTCTATTTAGCCTGAGTACAGACTTCCATCTCCAAAATTTCTATACATTTATAATCATCATCATCATCATCTTCAGGGGTTGGGCCTTTTGGTCTGTTCTGATGCCAGGATTAGTCAAACTGGTCCCTCCACATTTATAATTATTTAGATTTTACTCTGTATAGCAGCAAGGGTTTTGTTTTAAAAATACAATTGTTCACATGAAGGTAATAGTGCCTTACATGGAAAAAAATATGAGCTAGGTTTGTGGCAGCAGCAGCAGCTTCTAATAACCTTGTTGAAAATAGTGTCAGAACAAAGCATTGTAGTGTTCTTAATTTCTGCTGTCATCTGTTTTTGTGTTTTGATTTTTCTCTGTTTTTTTTTTTATGTACGTAACTGTAAAATTGTAATAGTGTTTGAAAACCAAGAGTACTTTGTGATGTTAGACTCTACAGGTAGTGGATTTTCTCTATTTTAAGATGCCATCAATTGGGAGATACCTTTGGTTCAGTAATAAGTTTTCAGGAAAGAGATGCTATATCAATTCCTAGACAACATTAAATGTAAGACACGCAAAACTCACCCCGATATCAGAAATTTTAAAATGTGCATCCTAAAATTGAGGATATATGGTATTTACTTTTAGTCTTCTTCGTATGTGTGCGATTACTTTGAGATCCTAATACTTGTGTCCAGCAAATTTTAATCATGTATAGTGTGCTGTCTTTCTTCTGTATTCATTCATAAGTACAGTGTTTGGTATTGAGTTATTAAGTTTTGTTGTTTTTTCTGGAAACAGGCTTTTTCGAACCTTTAGCCTTTGGTTGGAAGAGCCACGACTTCATGAACCGAGCCTATTTCTTCCTGCTTTGCCTCCTCAGTATAACTCCAGCAAGTTAGCAGCATTGTTGCAAGGAAATACGGTATGAGTGAATGATACTTCAGATCTTTATTTGTTTTTATCTATATTGTGGAACCCCAATTTTAATATTATCACTAGAAGTTTTTTCTCATTTCGTGGTGCATTTATTTGGCTTCATCCACATCATTTCACTGTTACATCTGTGGCATTGAAGGTGTATTACAGTTTAGTGTACAGTGTTATTGTTCCTCAAGGGAATTTTAAATGTGAATTGCTCTGTACTATTAAAAATGTTTGTTTCAATAAAAATATCAAGTATCACATACTGCCATAGAAAAATATTTCATAATAATGAATATTTCAGTGTACACAGTAAAGTCTTGTCCCCATTCAAAACAAATTTGTTCAGTTCAACAAAATTCTTTCAAAGTATTATTTAGAATGTGGTAACCCTTCCCAAGCAGAACCTGTACTGGCAGTGCAAGTAGTGTTTCAGAAATGTAAAAATACTGCTGTTTTCATTAAATTAGTGTTTTAAATGTGCACCAGATGCCACAAGCAACCTGACTCAATTTATCCTATTCTGGCCCAGACTAACCTTACTGAACCCACCCTAACTTGACCTAAACTAACTAAAGATTACCTAATCTAATCCATTCCAGCATAACCTAAGCTAACCCAGCTTTACTTTCCCAAACCATCCTATCCTAAGCTAACCTGAAGTAACTCAACCTGACTAAACCCAACATGACCCAACTTATCCTAACTCAGACCAACCTAATCCAACACAGTCCAACCTAAGCTATCCCAACTTAACCCAGCCCAACTTGCTAAAATGTAATCTATGTGAACATAACACAATTCAAACTAACCTAGCCTAAACCAGTGTATTGTAACCCATCCCTAGCCATCCAAACCTAACCCATTGTAACTAAATGTAACACATCCTATTGCAAACTAACCGAACTGAACCAAGTTGAACCCTACCTGACCCAATGTAATCAGTTCTAAGTGAACATAATGGAATATAACCACCTGCATATCATCATTTGTATGTCATATAAAGTATCTGAACCATATGTACTGTTGAAGAGTCTTTGTAACCTGTTGCCCTAATACCCATCAAAATTGACCCCATTTTCTCAAATCCCTGAAATAAAACAAAACAAAACAAAACAAAAGGCTTCAGAAGAGAAAGCTGCAGTAAGATTAGGTAGCCAGTTATAGAAGTTTGGTATTACAAATTTGGTGTTAACCTAATGATAGAACTGGGAGGAATTTGGAAAATGGGCATTTGTTTGTAAATCTGTTAATTTGTTGGCATTGTAATGGCATTTATTATCCATATTTAGGTTTTGTTTCTTTTATATATGAATTTAAACTTACGAATATTTTGAATTACATGTAGTTTAGTAATCTGAGTAAATTCATACACTGCTTTAACTTTGTGTGGTGCATCTGCTTTTTATAGACTCTGTGGTTAGAGTATATGGATTATCTTAAGGTCAGGGAAGACCAACAGGCAGCATCTCTGGAATGGGAAATGACCCATTTTAGAACTGACGATCCCAGGATGAAGATTCCATTGTTCACTAATCCGGAAGATACCAGCGAGCCTAATGACAGAATTTTGAAACGGTCAGTATTATAACTAAGCAACAAAAGATGTGTCTTTAATGTGTTACTTAGTGTAACAGCCTTTGTTTTGGGGTAGTATTAAGGGAAAGAATTCAAGAGGTTTTAAGGAAATATTCTGAAGACATATTTACTTAAACATTCTGTTCTACTTTGTTTATATAGTGTTCAAAGTGGGTTATGAGTCTCTCTTTGTACACTTTAGATGATAAATATTGTTCATAATCTTTCCTTATATAATTTTTATTATCTCATATTGGTTTCTTTAACATGTGCAAGTTTATCATATCTCTGTTTTATGTTTCATGTATCTGAAAAATATTGATTCAGTAGAAAGCATTTGAATAAAAATTTCCTTGTATATTTTCTATCGTCTAGTAAAATAATAAAATAGAAAACAACATTTCAGAGATGGGGCTCTATCTCCGTCTTCAGGTACCTACTCTGTTGGGCCCAATAGATAGAGCTAATCCCTATCTCCGGACTAGAGATAGTTTTCTATTTTATTATTTTACTAGACGATGGAAAATATCCTAGGAAATTTTTATTCAAATAACTCATCATCATCACAAACTTTTAGATTTGATATAGAAAGCATTTTATGAAAAGATATTTCTTTATTTTTTTCCATTATAGAAGTAGAGAATGAATAATACTTTAGTACAGTCACAATACTTAACATTGAAATATTTCACTGTGTTTTTGTAACTATATGTTGTGGACTCATTTCTGCAAACCTCCCTTCTACCTCTTCTGCATATCACCTATGTTATGGAACATTTGTTCTGTAAAAATTCTCAAGCCTCAAAAGAGAGTCATTTGTTAGTATCTAATTTTTGCACATAAAGAAACGTGGCAAGACATTTGTTTTGATTCGGTTATCAGATTGCTGCCAACGATATCACATATGTCAAAGGTGATATAAACTACTTTCAGTATTTATAGTAAGATCACTACAGTTTATACAGTGGTCACTTGCATTTTATGTGCATTGGTACTTTTGTCTCACTCTGTGTGGTGTGGTTAGATACTATGTTAATGGTGGTTTTCTGGGTCATGATGCTGTATAGTCATATAGATAGTTACTGACATGTCAGAGGATTATACTGCATCCCCCTACCCTGAAGATGGATGTGATGCATTCCTCAAGAATATGTGTAACTACCTACAAGACCACATTGTGATATCCTAGATCACTGCCATAAGTACTTAAAATGTTAGATGTATTAAGACTTATTGATGTAAGAATAAATGTTTGAGATAGTAGAAGAATTCACTTAAAATTTCTTTCAGAATTAAGTGTCGAATGATAATTTATTTGTTTGACTTAACTTTTTTTCAGTCTGCAGTCATATGATTCACCTGTACCTGCCCCACCCCTGTGGGCTGTGAAGCCAGTTATGCCTCTTGTCACAAATGACATGTTATACAATAGGAGTGCATTACTTGATGGTATTAAAACTTCCTTCAAAGCTCTTCTGGAATATGCCCAGTAAGTTTATACTGTAGCATTTAGTTTCACAGTAATTTATATTTTATATTTATTTCAGGAGGTGAAGGATGTATTTTTGTTTTGTTTCACTCAACACTTCTTCACTTTCCCTGTGGACAAATGATTCAAATGTAGTTTAATATATATATATCCTTGATGAAAGACTCTTGTGTTACAAGCTGCGTCAGGTGGCTGAATGGTGAATAAACCATATCTTCTGCCAATGTTTCGAGAACAATCTCTGCTCTCATCCTCAGGGCTGCTGCGTAGCAAATCTGATCCTTTGTATTGCGCTCGCCGATGGGAACTGGTGGTGGACGGCAGATAGTACCTATGCAGCAGCCCTGAGAATGAGAGCAGAGATCGTTCTCGAAACGTTGGAAGAAGATATGGTTTATTCACCATTCAGCCACCTGACACGGCTTGTAACCCAAGAGTCTTTCATCAACTTCAGTTGCCATGAAAGCTTCATTTTATATATAACCTTGTCAGATATCACTGTATACAGTGAATAATTACAATGCACTTGAACTGCCCCTGCTTACAAAAATACTTTTGATGTATAAATGAAAGTCAGTAGAAGGTTCCATCCATCATACACTGATGTATTCCTAATCCATGGTTGAGGATGAAATCCACATCAGCAGCAGCAGCAGCAGCAATGATGACAAGAAATATATTTTCTTTCAGTGTATGTATTGGAAGTAGGGTTAATTTACGGGGAAGCTGAGTATTTTTATATATTCCTTTCTGTGGGCAAAATGCATAGTTATTGAATGTCAGGTAGGAGGTGCACATATAATAGATTTCATATTTAAAACAAGCACTAATTATTGAAATAAATGGATTCCATTAATATAGACACTTTTAAAACACATCTTTCTAAATACTGTTTACTGGTAAAACAAGAGTGTTATAATTTTCTTGAAGTCATTTGTTTTTGAGAGTATCTGTTGGAACAATGTAACTAGCACATCAACTTCATTGACTCAGTTGTGTTAGGTCATGTGACTGTGTTATTGTTTTATGTTGAATCTGAAATTATTATACTTTTGTTAGATTCACATCCCTTTTGTGTAAGAAAATGTCAGCAGTAATGTATGAATTTCAGTTCCCTGAATTTATTTTTAAAATATGTGTCTGCTTAGTAATGGTTAATGGTAAAATAAAAGAATGCATGTTTTTTCTGTGCTCAAATCCCTTTTTGAAAGACATTGTCAAATTTTGAAAGAACTGAGTCAATTTTAATAACTTATATCCATTTATGGTGCATTCACAATGAAAGTTGCAAATTGCATCTGTTGCTTATTAGGGTCGTTATGCCTGTCCACATGTAACAACATGAGAATCGCTAAATGGGTTTTCTTTAAATTTGATATTGGATAGTTTTAGTAAAACCTGTAGTCAGATTCCACTTTCAGTTCAAATCACACAACAATAACTCACAGTTTACATGAAGACTTGCATGCATTTCTGTACACAGCTCTCAAAATATTCGTTGTAGTGAAAAATGAATCAAACAAGTTGTAGAGAAAAATAAAACATTTTATGCCCAGCACACTTTGTAAGTCATACAATTTTTGGGATGTTTAAACAAGGTTTTTTATACTGTGCCATGTTGTAATTTGAGAACTACTGGATTGATTTTGTTAATAATTTATATTGGATGTATTTCTTAAATTGTTGAACCCCGCTTTTATATAATACTAATTTGTAGTGAAACAACACAGTATCATCATATATCTTGGGCTCAGTCCCCTGAGAGCATTCTTGCTGTAGCTCTTCTGTAGTTGAAACTCTGGTTAAATGTATGGTTTATGATACTGATTGTATTGAAACAAAAGAAAATCAAATGCTTGACTCTTGGATATATATATATAATTTAAATTCATCTGTAAGATATGCAGAGGTATTATACAGATTTCAGTGACTGATTGCATTAGTAGACTGTGGCCAAATAATAAATAAAACTGGGAAAAGTAATATCACCATACTGTTAGCTTCTGACAGTGTTAAATAAACCATAATTAAACTACAGTATCGTGAGGACAAGGATGAAGATGGTTCTTGAAACGTTGGTGTTTTCTCCATTAAACCATCTTACATAGCTGGTAGCCCAAGAAGAATTTATCGTGGTTCACTTGATGTTAGTATGAGGCATACTGGGTGTATATGTTTTCTTTTTAGGCATTTGTGCTTAACAGTTCTAAAGTGAATGCGTTACTGAGAGATTGGGAAATATATGCACATTTGTATTGCAGAATCTACTCCTTGCGTGTGTCAGAACACACAGCTTTAGACTGCAACTTTCTGGAGCTGGTGCCCCTGTTATATCGAGATGTTGAACTAGAGGTTGTACTGCATGCAGCCTGTGATAGTGAGCCTCATACAAGGAGAGGAAACACAACCAACTGCGCTGGTCCTGCAGCTATTCGACTCAAGGTGAGGCAGGACTTCTTTCTTGTAATTCATTCAAGGCATGGAGATAGGGAGATAGAATGATTAGTTGTGACTCTAAAGCAGAAGTAACTTTATCTATCACTTTATTGGATCATAATACTGCCTTTGATCTCATTCTGAATAGGCCAAAACTTAGTGCTAATTTCATATGTGGTTATCCTTTTCCAGGAATTTTATAATCTTTCTTGATTCCTGTAAATGTTCTCCTTTTGTGTGTAATATTTACATCACCCTGTCCCATTGACCTGTAATGAGAGGTATTTTATACTCTAGTCCTCCATTTTTAACCCTGCATCAAATTTAGCCTTGTGGTAACATCAGTGCATATTTTTTTCCATTAGGTGTGTGAAGCGCGAATAAATGTAGGCACTGACCATCTCATTGAGCAGAATCGTGAAGAATTTGAGGGTCTGCTGTGTCGTGCTATGCAGCCCCCACCTCAGAAAGTTTGTGCCGGCAGTGTTTACATCGAACATGTTATAATGTATGTACTGCCAGTTATCACAGCTCTTTATTACAGATTAAGTTTACTACATTATATCTTGCTACTTATACTTATGAATGTTTCAGGCTCCTGGAAAGTGAATTTCAGAAGCATGAATCAAATAGGAATACAGGCAGTGCAATGAAACTTCATGATGTAGGTGTTTCACTTTTTTATCTCATTATTATGCTTTACAATGATGAATCAGCATTTTATCCACCATCGAAACAGCTGCTTACAACATGCATTGAAACTCTGGGTCAGGTGAGTATAATGTGTTTCAGAGTGGATGACTAGAATACAAGAACCTTGAAAGAAACAGTTCTTTACATCTATTTTTTTCTCATTTCATAATCAGGATAATTCAGCTTACTGATGAATATTTTATGGTCATTTGTTATCCCAGATTGAGACATTCCGTACGTTTAATACAAATTCACAATCAAGACAGACTGTATTTTAATGCTAGAATAAATATTTGCATGCCATGTAAATGTTGGCTGTTTTCTGGGTTGTTGCGCCTTGTAATCTGGTAGAAGTTTACTGACATTTCAGAGGTCCTTGCTGCCCCCATCATCAGGGCGATGATGTGGTAGCAGCAAGGACCTCTGAAACGTCAGTAAACTTCTACCAGACTGCACCACAAAACAACCCAGAAGATAACCATCTTCAGACTCACCACCATGAAAACTTCAACTCCAACATATAAATGTTTCTTCTTAAATCACTTATTGTAGTTGATGGCTGTAAATGTAAATAAACTACTGCAAGCTACAGTGAACTTTTGTTCTTTTCAAAAGCAAGAGGGAAGGAAGTAGGAGAGTTATTGTAATTACAAATACAGTGAAACCTCGATGCATCGTTTTCGGCGGGGGTGGGAAATAAAAACGATAGATGCGGGAAAACGATAGATGCGGGAAAGCATTAAAAATTTAAAAAAAAAACAATGTTTCTCTTTCAAAGTTACTTCTTTTTACCAAAAAAGTCTTTAATGGACAACTGGTTTGTCGAAACTTTACGTTTTAGACCAAACAGAGTACTTTCCACGTTCAAAATGTTTTCCTCGTCACGTTCGCTAATATTATGGGCATAAAAGAACGACTTCACTTTTGCCAATGCAGCGTGTGCTTCGGCAAAACTCGGCACAGCTTCGGGCTCGCATTCGTCGTCTTCCTCACCGCTCCCACCCCCTTCGCGATCGTCACACAACT